TCTAGCCTCATCACCTACTGCTTTATAGCATTTCATCGGCAACTGAAAAAAATATATCTGTTATGAGATACTAAAACGTTTAAATGTGATTGAAACGTTTAAACGTTTAAACGTGTAAATGTGATTAAATGTGATTATAATATATATATTAGTCTTTCTCTAATTTGAGCAGTGAGGAATATACCACCACAACTGAATGGCTAACAATTAACCAAACATAACTGTTTTTCGGTGTCAGGGTGGTCCAATCTACTTGAACCTAACGTTAATGTAATTAAACCAATAATAAATTGAAGTAGTTATTCTAAAACCTTTGGACAATCTTTATTTCTATCATATATACATGGTCGCTCATAGGTAATGTCGATTCATATGTAAAAATTTCAACGCATCCATTTAAATATGTTGGAACTTCTTAAATTTATCTCTTGTTCTACAAACAGTACAGTAATTTTACTTTCTTTGAATAATTTTCTGTTTGTTCGTTGATGAAGGACTAGGTTTTGATAAAATAGTGGACAGGTGATGCGAATGTATGAGGTTTTGTTGAAGAAATATTCATGTTACCGAAACCGGGTTTTTTTTTCAAGACAATTCTAAACCATAAGTGTCGAAAGTAACGCAGAATACGAACAAAGAACTTGGTGATATTAAACTCCTACCAGATCCGAAATTTAGTCCAGACTTTACACTTGAGATCTATGGCGAAATTCTTTTGTACAAAATAATTTGTTTCCAACAGATGTTATTAAAGCAGTGCGAATTTTTTTTTTTTGCATTTAAGGCCAAAAAATGATTTAAACTAAGAGCTTACTGCTCTTTGGGATAAAAAACATTAAAAACGAGGAGCTATACCTCTCATAGTAAGTCTATTTCTTTGCGTTATATATTAAAAAGTGAACACTGAAAATCGACATTATTTATGAGACATCCACACACATGCACACATCCACATCCACATGTACATATACAGATGAAGAAGGCTACAAGGATTTTTGAAGTTTTTTGCAACTCTATAAATGAAACCAAGAATTTGAGTGCTCCTCTCAATTAAGTATTCATAATGATCGCAAAAACGCAATTTCTCATCGAAAATAATGCCTAGATCCCTAATTGTTTTCTTCCTTTCAAGACTAATATTGTGCAGACTATATTCAAAATTTGATTTTTTGGCTCCTATGGCTAAACGTAATGACATTTGCACTTATTTACATTCAGCAACATATTGTTTTCCCTGCACCATTTATCCACACTATCCACATCTGATTGAAGTTTTAAAGCATCAAAACACAATTGACAGCTGTGCAATTGACGTATAACGACAAATATGTAATGACGTAATGATGACAATCAGATATTTGTAAGAGATCTACTATATAAAAATAAGTGCGGTTTTCCATCCTGACGCTATAACTTCAGAACGAACTAATTTCCACGGTTTTGCATTCATTGGAAAGGTCTCGGGCTCCGTGAGGTTCATAACAAAAAATTTCAACAGAAAAGCGGGAAAATCTTTTTTCACATACAGCGCCATCATACATAACATGTACTACAAATCAATATTTTAAGTAAATGGTGCCGGTGCATGATACAATGGTTGAAGAATGTTGTAAAAGTTGGTCTGAATTCTGCTCATCAATAAATCGTTTGACATCTATAAATCACATTTGGACTAAAATAAGTAAATTCAAAAAAAGCTTTCCAAGTTCTAACTTATTTTCTGACCTCAATTGGGTTCAAACATTTTTATATAAATACACACCGGATACTGTTTCACAACAGATAAGTATAGATAATGTTCTTGGAGTAAATAGTGATAATTCATACATGGTCGGTTGTTTTACTATGTAAGAGTTAAAATCTGCTTTAGCCTCAAGAAAAGATTCTTCATGTGGCCTGGATTGGCTTTCCCACAAAATGTTTAAACTTTTAAATGTTCAAACTCTATCTATTTTTTTAAGTCTATTAAATAGTTTATGGTCGTCTTCTATTATCCCAGAGGATTGGAAAACTGACTGTTTGGTGCCAATATTAAAACCTGGCAAAGACTTTAATTTGGCTGATTCTTATCGTCCTATTACACTGAGTTCATGTGTTGGAAAAAATTTCGAACAATTAATAAAACAGAGATTAATTTTTCACATAGAGAGTAATAATCTTTTACCTTACAATCAGTTTGGCTTTCGTTGTGGCCGATCTGATTGTGAGAGTTTATGTCAATTCTGTCTAGATATCCATGATGCTTGTTCCGAGAACTAGTTGGTGTTTTTCTTGACATTGTAGGGGCTTTCAATAATGTAGATCTGAACAAATTATCCTCAATATTATTAGTACTTCAGGTACCTGGAAAAGTTGTAAATTGGATTTTTAATTTTTTGAACTACAGAAAGGTGTTTGTTAAGGTCAACAATCAGTTATTTAGTCCAAGATATTCTTGTAGGGATGTATCACAGGGTATATATAAGTATTGAGCCCATTACTTTTTATCCTATTCATACATCAGCTAAATTTAACTCTGGGGTGTGAAGTTTCTAATCTGCAGTTTGCAGATGATTTAGTTGTTTATTGCTCTGATACTAATTTTTTAAATGTACAATCAGTCCTCAATGTTGTTCTCCAAAGATTAAAGAAGTATTTTGATAGCCTTGGGCTGGAGGTCAGCAATGAAAAAAGTAAAGTTGTTGTCTTTTCCAAAAATGGAATTAGAAATAGGAATGTAAATATTTTGTTCAATAATAAGAGCTCTGTAAACTTTTTAGGTGTTATTTTTACAAACAATTTTAGATGGAATAAGTATGCTGAAACTCTAGAATCTCGAGCTTTAAATGCTTGTAATGTTTTAAAATCTTTAACAAGCACATATTGGGGGCTGATCCAAGGATTCTACTAACATTATATAAATCATTAGTAAGGAATCATTTTGAATAAGCTTTTTTTTTGTTTTGCAAGGGTAAGAACTATAGTTGACAAATTAGAAAAGATACAAAATAAATGTTTGCTTATTATAATGGGTGCCATGTGAACTATTCCCATAGTGTCAATGCAGGTGGAATGTAATATACCTCCATTAGCACTTAGGTTTAAATACTTACAATCAAAATTTTTTGCAAGGTTGCTCTCTGTCAGTAACCATCCACTTCTTGTTAAACTACGGAACACTATTAACAGGACTGCAAATATTAATTCATATTTGTTTCAAGGTTTTTCTGTAACAGAACAAATTTTTAATAAACATAATATATTTTCTAGCATGTTATGGCCTTGTTACTCTGGGTTATATGAATCAAAATTTATGCAGATTAAAATTGTAATCAAAAGTCTTCTAAAGTGTAAGGAAGACATTTATAGGGAACTTGATAGGTGGCAGGGATATCATCAGATATATACAGATGGGTCTAGGAACAATGAAGCAGTCTCTATAGCTGTCTATAATAGTCAGATCAAAAGTCGATTTGGTCATAGGCTGAATCCACTCACAAGCATATACCCCGCTGAAGCTGTATACACAGCTATGGAGCACATTCAAACACAGACTCATCCAAAGTGGATTATAATAACGGATAGTTTAAGTTTATTAACAGCACTATAAAATCCACAGTTAAATTCAAAAACTAACTATATCTTCTATCTTCTATATATCTTCTATATATATTAAAATGGATTGCTGTTCCTTAGTCTCGCTAAAACTCGAGAACGGCTGAACCGATTTGGCTAATTTTAGTCTTGAAATACTTCTGGAAGTCCAGGGAAGGTTTAAAAGGTGAGAAAAATTGGAATAATTGCCGGGAAAACCCTAAAAACAGCCTTTTTCTATTTCCCATACAAACGTTTTTTTGACATTAGATTTGACAAGTAACTAGTATGTCAATCATTCTGTTTGATTGAAACAGGAAAAACCTGATTATTTATGGCCTCTAAGACGGAATAGAGTTCGCCTGGTCAGCTATACATATATTACTCTTGACCAAACTAACGCGGACGAAGTCGCGGGCAAAAACTAGTTATATGTACATATATAAAAAAAGAGAGTTGTATCATCTGCTGTCTCAAAACAAGCAAATAGTCCTATTCTGGACACCAGCCCACATTGGTGTGCATGGCAATGAGCAAGCAGACTATTTAGCTAAATTTATTACAAATCTGGCCCACAATCAATTAAGTCATAGCTTTTTAAATTTCCCAATTCCTTATTCAGGCGCTTTATCTCTTTTCAAACTCACGTTACAGAAAGAATTTTACAACTTTTGGCATCAGGTGGTAAAGGTAAAAGGAAAATGGTTCGCTACAATAAAAAAGGTCTCTTCTCCCTGATTTACCGTGTTTTTGACTCTTAAACTTGTAGACATTGCAATAGTGCTGATGAAACCCTCGAACATATATTTTTTGATTGTCCACAGTTTAGTATTCAAAGGATGGTCCTTGTAGACCAACTTTTAAGTATTTTTAAAACTGCTGAAGATATCCCGCGCTCCCTTCAGCAAATACTAAGCATTCAAGAATGCTTCTTGCCAGTTTATGGCTTTATTGTTTCTACTATAAATGAAATTTAATTGTTATATGTACATATGTATATAATACTAATTTTTTCGTTTTGTTTAAGATATTTGTTTTTTAGCTCTTTCAGCTATTTCAGAATTGGACCGTTTCATTGATTGTGAAAAATTAATTATTGACATGGCTTCGGCCTTATAATTTAAAAAATGATTTAAGAAGAAAATTAAAAGAAGACATGGCTTAGGCCTGATATAAAAACTTGAGTCAAAAATAAAAAAGGAGATTAAGACATTTAAAAATAATTAAAGATACAAAATTCAAAAGACATGGCTGTATGGTCTTTGTTCTCTTTGCCTGTTCTGAACTGAACGAACATAACCAAAAAAAAAAGTCGATGGGACTGACAGTGTCATAAGTGATTTACAATTTGACATTGGCATTTAGCAGTTGGGTATTGTATTGTTTTGCATCATGTGTTAGTGTTTCGCCGCCAAAATTTGTTTAAGATGTTGTCTTCTTTACTGTTTGTCATGTCAGGATAATAGCACAGTATTACGCGATTATAAACATTTAAACCTTTTCAAATATGTAAGTTTCTATACATGAGTAAAACATGATAAATTGTGAATCGTGGTTATTTTTTTTATTTCTTGCAGGTCGTCAAGCCCAAATTCTTTACTTCTTCAACGGACTATCGACTTAAATTTCACTAATAAGAAACGTTCGCAATCACTAAAATGGATCGTCGTTAATGCAGTATTTTTACTCGTGTTTGTGTATGACTTGTAAGTAGAGCTTAAAATATTTAAAAATTTTAAGAATTAACCTATTGTGAAGAGACTTGTAACGATTTAACGTTTAATTTATGACCAAATAATTAATATAAGACATAGTTTAGGTTTAGAACCCTCTTATACTTTAATATTAATAAATAATTTATGAATGTCTCTGGAGAGAGACCAACTGGGCTGGCATGCATTCTTTAAAAATCTCTTTTTCTAACAAGACTAGCCGGTGCCTGGCTATGCTGTTTATTCAGATCATACTCTTTAAATTACACAAGACGCTTAAATAGAAAAATTTACAGCCTATGTTTTATTAAAATGGAAGAAATTAAAACTATGAAATCTTACTTTTCCTACTTCCCCAATCGAGTCACATCACATTTGCAAAACTATGTTTAGCTGTCCATGGAGGATGGTTCTACTTCCATCATGTAGGCCGTCTGCTTGTTTGCCTCCTTTAGCATAAAAAAAACATTCCTTCCCTCAGAATGACAAATGTACTTTCTGACATCTTCAAACTGAATCATCGCACAACACAATAAACTAATACATAATAATATCAAGATGAAACTAAGCTTTTGAGATAATTTTGATTTTAACAAAATATATTGAAGTGGAACTTCCAACAAGGTGGCTTTAAAAATGCAATGCTCCTAGAGACTAAGTGAGAGTGAATGTGTGGGTCAATTGTGAATTTTAAATTTATCTTAAAGAAACAACATGACTTTATTAAAAAATTCTTTTTACTCTTTCCTATTTTCATGTCCACATTATGAAGTTTCACTTCTTCCTCTCATTAGACTTGAAGTCACAATATCAGATAGGTTGACGGCCAACTAACTAATATGACACTAGATGTGTCATACCTTTCTGTTTAATATCCCGTTTGTTATATTTGCTGATACATACAAAATTACTGCCCTAAAACCAAACATTTATAATGACAAAAAAAAAGAATTAATTTGTTTTGTCTCAAATATAAAACAAAATTTATATTAACAATTTAAGTCTTCAAACACATTTTAATATTTTATGAAACTTATCAGATTATAAATTTGTTCAGTGTATCATATAAGTGGTAGTGTGTGTGTGTTGTATTGTCAGGTCGTGTAAGTGTCCCGGGTACACGTCCATCCTTCACTACGTGGAGCTGCTGTGTGCGGGCGTGTTGGCCGCTAACCTCATCCAGTACGCCGTCAGCCTCGCGCCCTCCCGACAACAGAAACTGCCGCTGTCTCCGCAGCAACAGAAACTGTTAGGACTGTCCTCGGCCGACTTGGGTATTTATAACTTTTTATTAGATAGCTAATCATTTGAAATATTTTCATATTCTTCAATTTAAACCCTAGATTCGTCTTTCGTTCTGACGAAATCCAACGTGTCCGGGCCGGTGTCAGCTGAGAGCTCCTGTTCGTGTGAGGGGTGGGGGGGCTCGGACGCGGACCTGTCCCTGTCTCCCCGCGTGTGGCGCTCCGCCCCGCCGTCCCCTCCCTCGCCCCCCGCCCCCGCTCCCTGCACCCCTCCGTCGCCCGTCAGCCGCGACTCCACACACGACCAGTTCATATCTGACAGAGAGTCTCTGGCTAACTACCTGAGGTTAGTGGACATTTTCAAATAACTGTCTGTCTACTCTACCCTTTTCAACGGTCGTTATCACTACATATATTTTACCGTCGCAGACGATGTGAGGAGCGCAGCGCCGCAGTCGCCGCAGAGCTGTCTCCGCCTGGTCCGGCTGGTAGGGGCGCTCCGCCCCCCTACCAGCTGTCGGCCGTCGACAGCGGCACCAAGCTGGAGGAGGGCTCGCCGCAGGGGGCGCCGCAGCCGTGGGGGCGCCTCGACCTGGACCCGCAGCGACTGACGCAGTGGAACCTCAACCTGCGACTGGTCTGTGATACATCTTTAATACATAGTAATCTAATGTGGTTCATTACTGGCTTTGAAAGGAAACGCCTTTGTAGCTTTAATTCACATTTAATAATATTAGAAGATTTTAACATAACATAATGAAAGCTTGGGCCAATCGGCGGTCAGCCATATTTGGATGTATACATGATATGTTTTATAAAGGAGACTTTACACTAGACTTAATTCTATTTCTATAATATAGCATACACATTATAATCATTTCACTTCACCTCTGGTGGTGAAAGAAAAAAAATGGGCTTACACATATTTTTTTTGTATTGTTAAAATACTTAGATGAAATAAAACCCTTTTTTAACAACCTCCATATATTTTATCAACCTTCAACCGACATAACTATGATGCGACTAATCACACACAGATTAAAAATATTGCTAATTAAAATAGATTATACAATTTACTTATACTCAACACACCTCCTTAAATTTATAATCTTAAGCTTAAATAACACAACATTCATCATGACTAAACTTATAAACTTTTACATTGCTATCCATACAATCTTATACCAAATTAATATTTTATCTTTTACTTTACTAAATTAATTTTAAGTGTAACCTGTTTTAATAATAATAATAATAAATCCGTTTATTGTCAGAAACATAGTAAACATTGAAATACATAGGGATAGAATAAAGAAAACATAATACATAATATGCAGACAATGGAAGCTGTCTCAGCTGCATGTTTCTCTGGAGCGTGGCCCTGGGAAACGCTGGTTTTCAGACAGTCCCTTTTACAAATATTTTAAATAGGAGTAACATTATCCTACCCCCGCCACTAATATTATAATTATAATTTACAAACGTTGGAAAATAAGCAATTACAAATAAATGATGATAGCAAACTTATAAAAAAAGAAGTAAATTTAATCCAAACAGAAATAAAGTTTATCATTAGAAAACGCTAAAGAATGTACAAGTACTCTTGCATGAGTGTGTGTGTGTGTGTGTGTGAATGTGTGTCTGAGTATATGTGTGCATGTGTATTTGTGTGTGATTGGAGAAGTAAGGGGGTAATCTTAATATTGCCAAAATTCTTTTAGCGGCAGGCATTTGTAGTATGCGTGTCTAACATTTTCTGCAGCATGTTGTTTTTTAAGCAAGGTGGTTTTATATTTGCCTTTAAAAGACTCTGTATTACACTTTGTTCTAAGTGGTGGAGGTAGATCATTCCATATTTTTGCTGCAGAAAACCTAAAACAGCTTCTATACCTTGCCGATTTATGATTTTGAATTTTGAGTAAATTCTGGACGCCAAAGCGACGGCTTCTTAAGCAATGCACGTCAAGCCAGGTCAATTTTTCGAACAGGTATTCTGTCTTCCTTGATGAATGGCCTTATTTTGTACAAAGTCTTCAACTTCATGAATGCCGTCCTAACTTTATTATTTACGTGTTCTGTAAATTTTTGCTCCGTATCCAAAATTAGTCCAAGATTACGTGCAGAGGAATTCTGTTGGATTTCAACGTTGTTTATTTTGAGCTTGATCCCCGCGTCCTGTACGTGTTTTATTTGCTTTTTTGTACCCAATATTAACATTGATGATTTTTGAGGGTTCAAGACCAATGCGTTATTTTGAGACCAGGTGTTGATACTGTCGAGGTCACTGTTAATTATAGAAACAGCGTCCAGTATGGTTTGAACGTTATTGCAGTCGAAAGAGTAATATATTTGGGTATCATCTGCATAAAGGTGATATTTGCAGTGTTTAATTTGATGAGTTAAGTTTTTTGTTTTGTTTTTCAAAAACTTTTTCTTATCTAAACTTTTAGTTAACATGTCTGCCAGGTTACTTGTACTATCAATTTTCACAATATCAATTATTTTATTGTCATAGTTCTCATTTATATAATGATACTGCACTTCAATGTGCTTTGAGTTTTTTGTAAAAATTACCATATTTAGCTATTGCAATTGCACCTGAGTTATCAACATAAATTTTTATTAGGTTACAAAATTTATATCAAATGATTCACTTAACAAGTTCCTTATAAAAAGTACTTCTGTCACTGCCTCTGACATAGCAGTATACTCTGCAAAGGTTGAACATTTAGTTACTGTACACTGTTTACGTGTTTTACAAAAATTAAGTTTCCAAACAATCTTATAACAAAACTCTCCTGCAAAGTCAGAATCTACCATATAGTCTAATACATCAGAATCCAAATTATCACAATATGTTAACTTTAAATCCTTATTTTTATACAAATAGTTTAAAACTCTCAGAGCATACTTGTAATGTGTTCTGTTATAACAAGATTGGTAATGAATCAAATAATTAACACTATATGCTACATCCGGCCTTGTGCCTGTACTTATATACAATAATTCCCCTATTATATTTCTATATTTAATACTTTCATCTACTTCTCTAGCTTGTTCTAGTTTTAAATTTGTTTCCATTGGAGTATCATACAACTTAGTATTCTGAAGATCATATTTAGCAGCTAAAGATTCAATGTACTTTGTTTGGTTTACAGTCATTATGCTTTCATCTTCACTATATTAAATATCTATATCAACATAACTTTTAATTTTTCCTAAGTCTTTCATAGCAAATCATTTCATTAAACTAGTTTTTACTTTCTATATTCTTTTTATCTTTACAACAGATCAAAAAATAATCAACAAATATTAATATGTATATTGGATCTTTGCTTGCTTTATTGACATATAGACAGTAATCATAGTTACTTCTTACAAAACTTAATGTTTTAATAAACTCATTGAAACAATTATACCACACTCTTGGACTTTCTTTGAGACCATAAAGTGCCTTCTGCAATTTGTAAACTTTGTTATTATCAGTTTCATAACCTTCTGGTTGATTTACATATACTTCTGACGTTACATAAGAATTTAAAAAACTGTATGACAATAAAATTTTCAAAGTTTGCATTTTTCCTACTGGTGAATAAGCATTATCAATGTTTTCATTTTGCTGAAATCCTCTCACAACTAATCTAGCTTTATACTCATTATTACTCTTCCTTTTAAAAACCCACTTAACATCTATAACTTTTTTATCTACTGGCCTTTCAACAATTTGCCAAGTATTGTTTTTATTTAAACTGTTTATTTCTGAGTCCATTGCTATTTGCCACTCTTTATGATCATTGGAGTTCACCGCCTCCTCAAACGTATTTGTTACATTAGCATCAATATAATTGACATATATAAAATGTGTAACTGGATTACCATATCTAGAAACTGAAGTTCTCTTTCTTTTTTTAGATTCTACAAGATCATCCTTATTATCGTCTAAGTTAAAACTACACAAAAGATTTTTTAAGGAATTGTTAGAACTAGGTTAAACTGCATCTACATAATCTTCATCACTATCATTAACTGTTTGGACTATATCTTTTGAGCTTTGTTCAATCTCTAAATTTTTATCTTGTTGATCATCTTGTTTTTCAAAGCAAATCAGATCAGTACTTTCTTCAACTACTTGTACATGTCTCGCATTAATTATTCTATTATTTAATAAAACCCGATAACTATTTTTATTATAACCCACTTAAATTCCTATCTATGCTTTTTCATCCCATTTACTTTTTCTCAAAACTTCAGGAACCCTAACAAATACTCTACTTCCATAAATTTTTAAATGACTTACATTTGGTTTCATTCCAAAGAATATCTCATACGGAGTTTTATTTTCAACTGTATTTGCAATTATTCAGTTTTTTAAATATGCTGCAGCTTTTATAGCTTCGGGCCAATACCACCTATTAATCTTAGCTTCTCTCATCAAACACCTAGCTATGTCCATAACAGACCTATTATATCTTTCTGCTACACCATTTAATTATGCATAAAATTTGCATAATTAAATGCAATGCATAGGGTGGACATGGTAATAATTCTATACCTTTTTGCCTTATAAAATCATAAATATGTTAATTTAAATACACATTTTACCGTAATCACACTGAACTTTCTTAACTTTTTTATTAAATTTATTTTCTACTAAATTTACAAATTCTATGAAACAATCAGCAACTTCAGCTTTACTTTTAAGCATATCCGCATACATTTCGATACCATCAATTAATCTTTTTGTGATCTCTTCGATACCGTCCATGACTGGCAACAAACTACAAGTCGTTTTTAAATGGAAATCCATTTTTGTGAAATTATTTTCTGGCTTAATACACAATTTTTTTATTTCTAAATATAGTATATTAATATTTTCATACATCTCAATAGCTTTATTTACTACATCCGACTTTTCATTACACTTAATATTTTTCAGAATTAAATTACTACTTAACACAAGTTTTTCGCACTCGTTTAATTTATTTTCTATAATATTCCCAGTAAACCTTTTTTTACCTGTCTTTATTAAGTATTTTTTTTATTTCAATTAAAGAATTTTATAATGTACATAACTGCACTGTCTTACTAAATTCTAATAATTATAAAAGAAAACATTAATTATAAAATATCACAACCAATTATTTTATATTAATTACACACTTAAGAATGTCGCCACGAAATGCTTTAATGAAATAAATTGATATGATAACTAGGGATTATATTATTATACTACATTAAATTTAAGGATACTTTACACTAGACTTAATTCTATAATATAGCATGCACACTATATTTATTACACTTCACTAATGAACGAAGAGTGTTCGTCAGTATCGTCGTCTACATCCCTCCCCTCTGTTTCCGGAGCGCAGTGGATCCAAGTAACGATCCTGGAGCCGGTGGTCCGCGAGCTGTCGGCGGCGGACGAGGCCCTGTCCCCGCGCCGCGCTGCTGGAGCCCGGCGCCCTGCTGGAGGGTCGCTCCCCGGCCGGCCGCCTGCGCTCGCTGGCCGCGCTGCGTCCCGCCCCCCACCCGCCGCTCGCCGCCCTGCTGCCCTTCCTGGAACCGTTCGCCGACCTGCGCTACGTCGTCCGCAGACTCCGAGGTGCGTCACGACCCCTCCGCTCGTCCCTCGTCTCCGGTTCTTGTCTGTATGTTCCGTCGCATGTTTCAGAGCTGGCGAAGGGCGGGTGTCTCAGCGAGTACAGGTGGAACGCGGGCGGGTCCGAGTGGGACGCGTCCAAGCCGACGGACGCGGAGCTGGTGCTGCACCTGTTCGCCACGTACCTGGACGGGCAGCTCGCGGGCGGCGGCGGCGCGCGGCCCTTCAGCACCGAGCACGTGCTGGAGCGCGGCGGGGTGCGGCGGCCCGCGCGGCCCGGCGTGCCGGCCGTGGTGCGCGTGTCGGCCCGGCCGCCGCACTACGCGCTGGCGCTGGGCGCGGACACGCTGGAGGTGGGCCGCGGCCGGAACAACCTGCTGCACGCGCTGCTGCTGCTGCTGCTGGCGCCGCCGCCGCGCGCCTCGACCCGCCCGCGCTCGGCCGCACCTCGCTCGGCCGCGCCGGACTCAACATGCTCTGGATCATCGGTCGAGATCGCTGACCTCTCAATAAATCTTTTCCTACGTCACGTGTATTTTCTTCTTTAATCCTTGTTCAACGATCGCCCGGGTTCCATCTTCGTGCCCCTCACGTTCCGTCGGGTCAAGTGAATACAAAATTAAACTCTGTTTGAGAACCATCACAAACGCATCTGTACGTTGAAGACATATGGGGGATTCTATCGTCACGGGACACTTGTACCTCGATTTTCAGCGTGTGTGGCTTATTTACGCTAATTGTATCAATGATATCTAATTGGTTTACCGTTTATATAGAATATATTAAATTTATCCATGTACTTTTATAGGTACAATAAAGACGGGAATAAGATCAAATTTAATAAAGAATACAGTAAATGTTTGTCACGGGTGGGACAAAGTTGTCACATTCTTGTTACACATGCATCATATTTAATAAAACTCTGCTAGTTGATGAAAGTTTTTAATGCAGACTACGATATTTCTTTGAGACAATAAACTAAACTTCACATTTGAATAGAAAATAAGGTTGTATTATTTACACATATTTAAAAAATAAATAAAGTGTGTCACGGGTGGGACATGTACGATTTACTTGGTACAAGGAGTCACTTATAAGTTTTTAAACGGCTTTATTTAGCTCACCCTGTTTGTTTTATTTATTCTTTTTTCTTGGGTCAAATTTAGTAATTCAAATTTCACCATTTTCCTGTCAACCGATTAATCTGAAAGGGCAATGTCCATTTTTGGCCTAGCTTGAACTAGCTGCTATCAAAAAAACAAGTTTATCAAAAAATATATATTTTTTTAGCTAGCCATTCTATTGTTGTTTGAGTGTACATTGGTATTTTATTGAAAAAATATTTTTAAAGTATCTTCATTGATTTGCTTTATTGATCCACGTTTTGTGTTACCAGCAAAATCAATTAGCAAAATTATAAGTATTTAATACAAAAAAAAATATTTGTTTTTAATTAGTTTCATCATTTAAAACGTTTTATAAACTGAAATATGAAGTATGTTAAACGTAATCATATCTGTTTTCGATCGATTTTTTAATGATTTTTTCTATTGCAACACTAATAAAACAAAAAATATAAATTGACATTGATATGTCACAGACTGATTGTTTACATTCGCTTTGTTTACCTACATTGAGAGTGTTGATTTATTGTGGATTTTCTTTCAACGATTGTTTATTCATTATGGACTCAAACCTATCTTTTTTCAATGACCCCTACACATCTACGGACCCCGAATTTCGCTCAAACGATGACCCTGGCTTTTGTATTATGGTCTCCGATCAAGGCATAAACGATGACCAACACTCACGTAATATGGACCCCGAAACTAGCTCCATCGCTAACCACGGCTTGAATATGGACATTGAACAAAACCAAAGCGTGTCTCATGATAGTCTGCACACAGAAGAAGTGACTTCTTGCCAATCCGTATCTCTGAGATGCATAAACTGTGGAACTGATTTGATAGAGAGAAGGCGACATAGTCTAGATCTTAATTAGGTTCAGTCTATTATAAGACAGTGGATAGCTCCTCGACGAGTAAGTCTCAATTCTCAATTAAAACATTATTCATACTAAACAACAAACATTACAGAGTGAGCGTAACTGGAAGTGTCTCTTTTATTATGAAGATTTTATTATTATATTATTATTTGTTTTGTTTTAAAATATGGAATTTTAAAAGTCTTTTATATGTAGACAAAGATTTAGCACGTTTTATATCTGATGGGAGTTATTGTAGAACTGAGCACCTTGATACATTAAAGTTCTTTTTCCGTAATTAGTTCGTGGGGCATATAGATTTGTCATTTGCTCGTCGTAACATTTTTGTTTGGATTTGGTATTTTTTTGTGAGTGTTATTTGGGAGTGGATGTCTTTATTTAGAATTTTTCTTATTAGTAGGCAAGTGTTGTATTGATACGTTTGCGAAATATTCATAAGTTTCAAATCTTTATAAATTTTGTGGGAGGACGTTAAAAAATTGTAATTGAATAAAACCTTAATTAAATTATTTTCATTATTATTTTCATTTAATATATATATATTATTTATTATCACAATGATAAGGAAGCTATAAAAGAATATTATTGTAATTGTATGGTTGGCCGAAGGACAGTGGGTTGCTGCGCTCATAAAATGACTATTTTATGGTTTTAAGTTGGGCAAGGTATCAGGAACACATTTCTCCACCTTTCCAATTTCTTGAACACATTAATAACATATGATGTCTTAGAATAAAAATAAATCATAAAAAATGTTGTTTTATTTCGCTTTAACCTGTTTTTCCTCACATGACAATAATCTCTTTTTAAACATTTTGATACAATATTAAGTTGATATTCTCATTATAAATAGTTAGTGCTTTTAAACAGATTACAAAAAATATGATAAAATGTCTCTTCACGTCAGGCCAAAGTCTCCATACTAAGTGGACAATCTCCTTTTGTATACACTTTGGATTTTGGTGACAATACAATTATGTTTATTCATTATCATTATAAATTCAAGATGGCCGCCGCTACAAAATGGCGGACAATTTATGTTTTATTAATCCCATCAATATGGATATCAATTGAAAGTGCTCAACCAGTAGAATACAATGTACTATATAAAATTAAAATCCAGGATGGCGGCCTCTACAAAATGGCGGATAACTTAGGTTTTATCAATCCCATCAATATGGGTATCAAATGAAAGGTCTTAACAAGTAGAATACAATTTACTATGCTAAATTGAAATCTAGGACAGCCGCCGCTACCAAATGTCTGATAACAATTTTTTAGAGGAGTTGGACTGCAATAAACTAACGGGCAAGAAACCTTGCAATAATGAAGCACAAATGAATTAACCAGAATGTGAAATAAAAACTAAAAACTAGAAAATAAAAATAGGTAAAAAACTTTTTAAGTTAAACGGTTTTAAGTGAAACATACATTGCAATGTTTAAGATAAATGAACTAAAAATCAAAAAAATTATAAAATAGATACAGTCGAGGGAATAATAAACAAATGCACAGACTAGACTAAAATAAAAGCATGGGGCACGTCAATTGTCTACAAATTATCGACTTAATGTGCGATAGAAGAATCGTTTATTATTTCTTGATATATTGATGCTAGTTTCATCATGGGAGTCAGTTCAGTAGCTTGGGTGTGCATCAAGGTATATATTTTAAACACTCAGCTTGACAGCTTTGTATCTTTTCAGAACCAAATCAGCATTATATTCATTAATCAAGTTTGCAAATTAATAAAAACTATTAATATACTAATATTTTTTAAAGTATCGTGCAATTTTAAGTATTTTGTATCGATATATATAATAATTAAAAAAAAGAAAAACTTTAAAAAAATTACATCAAGGTTTACTTTCCCGTAGAATCCCCCATATCCAATATTTTTGATAATACTACGTCAATTCTAAGAGCGCGGCTATTTTTTCATTTAATTTGTGTTTATTATTTGTTAGCCGCTGATTAAGTTTTATATTTTAAATAGGTCCATTATTAATTTGAAAAGCATTTTTGAAATGATATTTCTAGAATATGTTTCTGTCACCGTCATATAAATGACAAGACGATCCCGACTCGTGTTTATAAATATAGAAACTGCTTATATGATTCAGATAAAATATATAGTAAGGCTTGTTTCACTAAAAGCAGAATGATATATGAGGCTAAAATACGACTGTTTGGCACAGTACACGCAAAAGTACACCCAAAAAGAAATAAAGTTTACGTCAAAGAAATAGTCGGAAAACTACGAGAGGAAAAACTAAACTTGGTAAGAAGGAATCAAATTGTAAATGACAAAATGCTTAGTAAAATGCAATATTATAATTATCATTTTTGATGGAGACCATCTATCACATAAATACACTATAAACAATAATTAACATTTTCTCAAATATTTACACCGTGCGCCTTTGAGGTCAATATTTCTCACAAAAAATTTCAAACTAATGACGGCGGACGTACAAGGTTCCTAGGACGGCCCACGAGCGTCTTCTTGGAGAGCCCTGGTGTCAGTGAGCTGCTGCTGCAGTGCGGCCAGCAGGGCGTCGATGAACTCGGCCAGTGAGGGCTCGCCTCTAGTGTGCAGCGCGCGCGCCAGGAAGGGCAGGCGGCGCAGGGCGCGGCCCGAGCTGCCCGCTGCGGCCGAGGCCCGCGCCGCCGCCCACAGCGCCAGCGAGGCCCGCGACCCTTCCGTGTCCGCGAACCGAGCCGCCTCCAACACCCGCAGCGCGAACAGCTGCTCGCGAGGCGCGACCACCCCGCGCGCCATGAGCTCGGCGCAGCAGCCGCGCAGGATCTCGTAGGCAGCTCGCTCCGAGGGCGGGCCCACGCGCCGCTTGATGTCTGCTCGGTCGACGAAGGCCACGTCGATGGCGCCGGTCACGTTGGAGGTGGTGAGCACCAGCGCGTTGGGGTGTCTCTTGAGTCGGTCGAGCTGCGTGAGGATGGCGTTCACGGCCCGGATGGAGTCCGAGGGCTCCAGGCCCGCGAGGGCGGCGCGTCGAGCGTGCGCCAGGGACTCCACCTCGTCGACGAGGATGCACGCGAGGAGCCGACGATCTTCAACTATTTCACGGATCCGATCGAAGAGTTTAGCGACGAGTTTGCCGCTTTCGGAAAACCATTTGCTGAACAGCCCGTGAGCGTTTATTTCGAGGAGGCGGGCTCGCGGGAAACGGTCTCCCAGACGGATGGCTAGTTTCTGAGCTAGAGCTCGACATAAGCTGGTCTTGCCCGTCCCCGGAGGTCCGTGAAGCAGCACGACGCGATTCCAGGCTATCACATTAGGGTCTACACCGCGATCTGCAAATTCGAATGCAGTTTCTACAAACCGCAGTGTGTCTTCTTTGAGCTTGGAGTCGTACACGAGACTTTCCCACAGACCATGAAACTCTTCCGTAGGCAGCGCCCACACATCGGCGGCTGCTAGTTCTTCTCCCGATGCGGCGTCAGTCATCGTGTCCGTTTCTGCTCCATAGTTATCCAACGTATATATATGATACAAGAGCTCACACTCCGTCATGGCCACTTCTGATTCGTGTTCTACATCACAGAAAGTTATACACTGTACGTTTTCCTTAAGCTCTACATTATCTTCAAATTCATGACTACCTATTGAAGCTCCTGGAGTCAAAGACACAAAATTAGTTAAATAAGAATGAACAATCTCTTTGATATATTCTTTACTAGCCCGGCTTTGACGTTTCTGTATTACTTCGACATGGAGAGGGGCACTCATTTTGTGAAATTTTAAGTTTCTTTATAATAATTAATAGTTAACTAAACAGTTAACAACTAACAACAGACAACTTTAAAATAACTGTCGTTAGGAGAAGGATGTTGTCAAAAATGTCAAAACGAGAATGATATTCTAGATAAAAAATTAAGCAGCGTACTCAATAAAAAAATATTTTTTTAGTTGTATTTTATAAACAAAACATTAATTATTAAAGTTAAATATATTTATATTAATGTGCTATGTATTAGAAATTAAAAATTAATATTTCTATAAAGTTACATCATTCACTTTTTGATATATTCTATGTAGTGGTACAATCTACAGGTCGCCTGTCTAGTGTTATTGATTCAGATTTGAGATAAATGTTGAAGTACTGCACTTTGTATTAATTTTTCGATTAAAGTGAAATTATTTCAATACTCAATAAAAAATGTTTTTAGAAAAACCTACCTAATATACAGATCATATTATCCCGATGTTGTATTCTGTCAAGAGAATTAAGTGATTAGTATTAAGTATGCGGTGGTAAAGTGGAGGACGAGGAAACGATGGCGGCAGACACGGCGGTGGCCCCCAGCCCCGAGGAGACCCTGGAGTCTCTGCTGCGGGAGGTGGAGGCCTTGAAGCAGAAGCTGGAGGAGGAACGACAGAAACTAAACGACGCTTCTTGTACGTAGCTTCTTGTTAAGATTCAAACAAACAAAACATTTGTACATTGGTTCGTAATTATATATATATTGTCACCTAAAGATTATTTAACTAACATCTTTTCTTAAATATCAGCCTTGTATATTACTTTTAATATTATAAACATATATGTGGTAGCCTTAGAACTAGACTTGGAAACTAGAACTAGACATAAAAAGTGAAACTGCGGACCAGAGAACATTTTGTTATCCCGAAATCCAATATCTATCTTAATAAATAACTTAATTAACAACTAAATTTTAAATATTTAAGGGATTATCTGACATTTGAACATTAAGAGAAATATGTATGACTAGCTGACCCGGCAGACTTTGTACTGCCTCAATCAAGAAATAAATTATGTCCTATTTATTTTTTTGGTGTTTACCTTTTAGCCATAAATCTCCGTGTTCTTGAAGTGCGACAAAATCATTGACATATTAGTTAGTTGTCAAATCCAATGTCAAAAAACCGTTTGTATGGGAAATAAAAAAGTGCTGTTTACACCCTTTAGGGTTAACCCCGTTAAAAAAACCCTTTAGGGTTTTCCCGGAAATTAATACAATTTTTTCAGCTTTCAATCCTTCCCTGAACCTCCATGAACATTTCAAGACTATGATAAGATAAATCCGTTCAGTCATTCTCGAGTTTCAGCAACTCATTTCTATATATACATATATAGATATAATGTGTATAACTATTTATATAGCACAATAATAATTTTCTGTGGTTTCAGTGTCATTTGTGGCCGAGAGATTGGAAACTATAAACTTTCCCACACTGAAGTTGAGGCGCATGCTCAAGGGCCACCAAGCCAAAGTCCTCTGTGCCGACTGGTCCCCGGACAAGAGACACATTGTGTCTTCATCACAGGTCAGTTATATCAACAATACAACCCAGTCAATCACCTACATATTTGTTAAGATTGAATCAAGGGGATGACTTTTTACGCTATTGACTTTTAAAGTTTGTTATTTTCAAATGTTTGCTCTTCATTGTTTCACTTGTTATTATCAATATATTACAGTTCAACACAGATCAAGTTTTTAATCTGAGAAAATGTAACTAATTTGTTGACAGTGATATGTTGAGTGTACATGTACCATGACACTAGTTACAAATAAATAATGTAATGTAAAATACTAGTATTTAACTACAACCTACAGTTGTTGAAAAGACAATTTTTAATATCTTTCTAATCTACAGATGCAATTACATGTCGATGTTTAAAATAATGAGTTTTGTTATTTCAGGATGGAAAGCTGATAATTTGGGACGCGTTCACAGCCACCAAGGAGCTCACTATCCCGATGCCCAGCACGTGGGTGATGGCGTGCGCGTACGCTCCCTCAGGGAACATGGTGGCCGCGGGGGGACTCGACAACAAGGTGACGGTGTTCCCACTGGGAGGAGAGGAGGAGCCCGCCGCGCGCAAGCGGACCGTGGCCACGCACACGTCGTACATGTCGGCCTGCCTGTTCCCCAACACGGACCGCCAGCTGCTGACGGCCAGCGGGGACGGCACCTGCGCGCTCTGGGACGTGGAGTCGGGCCAGCTGCTGCAGAGCTTCCAGGCCCACGCCGCCGACGTGATGGCGCTCGACCTCGCGCCCACCGACATGGGGGACGCCTTCGTGTCCGGGGGCTGCGACCGCGCCGTGCTCGTGTGGGACATGCGCTCCGGCCACGCCGTGCAGGCCTTCGACACGCACCTGTCTGACGTGAACAGCGTGCGCTACCATCCGTCCGGGGACTCGGTGGCCTCGGGCTCGGATGACTCCTCCTGCCGCCTGTTCGACCTGCGCGCCGACCGCGAGGTGGCTCGCTACGCCAAGGACAGTCTGCTGTTCGGAGTGAACTCGGTGGACTGGTCGGTCAGCGGGCGGCTGCTGTTCGCGGGCTGCAGCGACTACACGGCCAGCGCGTGGGACGCGTTGCGCGCGGTGCGGGTCGGCACGCTGACGGGCCACGAACACCGCGTCACGCGCGTGGCGCTCTCCCCGGACGGCACGGCGCTGGCCACGGCCTCATGGGACTCCACGCTCCGCCTGTGGGCCTGATCCGCCTCTATACTGGAAAACATGTTTTAGAAGATTTTGAGTCCTCATCCCCTCATGGAGATTGTGAAGAGTCCGTGTTGAGTTTTTATTTATTAGAGCGTGTTATGTAGGTATGTGTTACCCGTTGAATAGTGTGTCCCGAAGGTGGTGAGCGCCAGCTACTACAAGTGTACACACGCTGTGAACCGCTACTCGTCCGACCGAGCCGCCCGCCGCCCGCCGCCTTCACCAATAAATTATATGTTGAATATATTTTTTGTTTCTTCCATATCCTTTAAACAGTAGTCGAGTATCATTGAAATGATAGGACTTCGCCTGCACTTATTCTTTGTAAAATGAGTTAAACAATCCTATAGTTAAATTACTTTATTCATGTTGAGATTAAACAATACTCTATGAGTATAGAAGCGAGAAAAAGCATTTTATTTCCTCGTCAGACCGATCACATGAAACATTTCACGACTGTGGAAACTGTTTATTTATAATAATAGTTAATGGATTCAGTTGCAGCATTAAAAGCATTTTTTTACCACAGATACAATAATAATTAAGTATACAGCTTAAATTTTTTTCTGTGAATAATAACAGAGCGTTTCTGTGCAGTGTGCATTTTCGAACTATGCTTCATTCCTTGTCCATGGTTTAGAAGGAAAAAGAGACCGGGAATTGAAACGTTGACGCGGGCTTTTTGAAAATTTTAATTATTTTAAATAGTTTTATATTATAATTTGCAAATTTTTGTTTAGTTTATTGTAAAAAAGGAAAACTTAGTCTGTGTATAAGTGTTTATGTGGAGAGATGGTGAAAAAACGTAAAAAGAAGGATTCGGGTGAGTCCTTGAATTTCAGCACAAGCAGCGATTCCGATTGCGAGGATTCGCCAGTATTGCAGGATGCAAATGTCTTCGCTCCCTTTAGGGTCGCTGATTATTGTCGGCGATACCCTGGAGATGCGGAAGCCAAGTCTGAATTCATAGCATTTGTCGAAAGTACTAATGATGTCCCACTCGGTAATAGGGACATGATGTCGCTTAGTACTGGTTTTATACGCTCTGTGAAAGGTATATAATATTTAAAATATATATATAAAGTCAGTGTTGTTTTCCAACGTGCGAATTTGGCAAATGCCTTTTTAGAAAATACTACATATCTAAAGGAACAACGACTTAAAGCTTCAATACCAGCAGGGGCCACCGAACTATCGGGAGTTATCTCTTCGGTTCCCACTCATCTATCCAATCACAAAATATATAAAGCAATATCAACAACAAAAAAAGTCATTTCTGTCCGACGCATAATGCGTAAAGTAAACGGAGAAAATAACACCTTCACACTGCAACCTACTCAGAGCGTAGTAATAACTTTTGCGTCTGCTACGTCACTGCCGGACTATGTTCACATTAAGATGTGGCGCCTGCCTGTCTCCACATGTCCCACCTATAAAACAGTGTTTTAAATGTTTACGCTATGATCATCTGGCTAAGTTTTGTAACAATTCACCGCGATGCTCCATATGCACAGAGGGGCATTCTTTCAAAGAATACAAGGTGAACATTGAAAAAGCGTAACATTAATTGTAATGGCAATCACATTGCCATCTCTAGCCAGTGACCTATAAGGCAAAAGAAAATCGCAAACAGTAAACCCAAGTCATATGCTGACACGTTAAAAGATTCATTAAATTTTCCCTCCCTTAATAAAAAATTAAATACCCAATAAGTAATACAAGCAATACTATCAAATTGTGAAGCTATGACTCAAAAGAATCTATAGTAAAAGTTATAACTTTAAATAAAACTCAAAATATAAGTATTAATTCAGAATTTATTAGTTCAGCTATTAAAGAAACCATCCAAGACAAAAATAGCAAATCGTCATATTCAACCACCAAATCTTAAATATTGTACAGTGGAACACTCAGTCTTTTAAGTAACAGACTTGAGTTTCAAATTTTTTTATACCAAAATAATATACATGTAGCTCTTATTTCAGAAACTTGGCTCAAGCCTAGCTTTCAATTTAATTTACGTTGTTATACCATTATTAGGAATGACTGCGGTAATGATCATAATGGCGTAGCAATATTAATTAAAAATGGTATACATTTCTCTAAACTAGATACTTTTATGATGATTCGTTACAAAATGTAGTAATTGTTATTAAATTGAAACATAAATGCATTTTTTTGGTTAGTTTTTACAGTCCTGGTAATAGTTTTCCTGCTTTTGAAAAGGCGAAGTTCGATCGTTTATTGTACAGTATTCCAAAACCGTTGATAATTGCAGGTGATTTTAACGTCCATCATACTTTTTGGGGTTGCAGTCGCATAGATTCTCGGGGCAGAGCTATTATGGATTCCATGGATGACCATGACTTAATACTTTTAAATAATGGTCAACCAACAACTATAGGCTCTCCTATTTTGAAACCAAACAGTCTAAATTTTAACTATGGTGTCTTCTTCTTTATTTCTTTCTTGTGACTGGCAAGTTCATCAGGTCCCTTTAGGCAGTTATCATCTGCCAACTATCACAAAATTTACTCTTGTAAGAGATCAACATGAACCCTCTATTCCCTTCAACGACAATTCTTTTCACAGCAATCTGAAATTTGAAAGTTATGAACAAATTGTTAATAAAATGTTAATGAACTTTAAAGTTGACAATAGTCATCTCCTTGACTCATACAGAAAGTTTTGTTCAATTATTCTATTGGCAATAAAATTCTCTGGGCCCAGCTTAAACCATAACACAACTGATAGTAATAAAAACCATCTTAGAAAAAGGTGTCCAGTACCTTGGTGGAATGATAAATGTTCAAAAGTAGTAGAAGATTGCAAGAATTTCAAATTATTTCAAAACTAAGTCTTAATAGTAAAAATTACATTAATTTGAAACACGCACAAGCCTTTAAAAAACTCACTTTAAGAGAAGAATGTTGTAAAAGTTGGTCTGAATTCTGCTCATCAATAAATCATTTGACATCTATAAATCGTTTGACATCTATAAATCACATTTGGACTAAAATAAGTAAATTCAAAAAAAGCTTTCCGAGTTCTAACTTATTTTCTGACCTCAATTGGGTTCAAACATTTTTATATAAATACACACCGGATACTGTTTCACAACAGATAAGTATAGATAATGTTCTTGGAGTAAATAGAGATAATTCATACATGATCGGTTGTTTTACTATGCAAGAGTTAAAATCTGCTTTAGCCTCAAGAAAAGATTCTTCATGTGGCCTGGATTGGCTTTCCCACAAAATGTTTAAACTTTTAAATGTTCAAACTCTATCTATTTTTTTAAGTCTATTAAATAGTTTATGGTCGTCTTCTATTATCCCAGAGGATTGGAAAACTGACTGGTGCCAATATTAAAACCTGGCAAAGACTTTAATTTGGCTGATTCTTGTCGTCCTATTACACTGAGTTCATGTGTTGGAAAAAATTTCGAACAATTAATAAAACAGAGATTAATTTTTCACATAGAAAGTAAATAATCTTTTACCTTACAATCAGTTTGGCTTTCGTTGTGGCCGTTCTGCTTGTAAGAGTCTATGTCATTTCTGTCTAGATATCCATGATGCTTGTTCCGAGAACTAGTTGGTGTTTTTCTTGACATTGTAGGGGCTTTCAATAATGTAGATCTGAACAAATTATCCTCAATATTATTAGTACTTCAGGTACCTGGAAAAGTTGTAAATTGGATTTTTAATTTTTTGAACTACAGAAAGGTGTTTGTTAAGGTCAACAATCAGTTATTTAGTCCAAGATATTCTTGTAGGGATGTATCACAGGGTATATATAAGTATTGAGCCCATTACTTTTTATCCTATTCATACATCAGCTAAATTTAACTCTGGGGTGTGAAGTTTCTAATCTGCAGTTTGCAGATGATTTAGTTGTTTATTGCTCTGATACTAATTTTTTAAATGTACAATCAGTCCTCAATGTTGTTCTCCAAAGATTAAAGAAGTATTTTGATAGCCTTGGGCTGGAGGTCAGCAATGAAAAAAGTAAAGTTGTTGTCTTTTCCAAAAATGGAATTAGAAATAGGAATGTAAATATTTTGTTCAATAATAAGAGCTCTGTAAACTTTTTAGGTGTTATTTTTACAAACAATTTTAGATGGAATAAGTATGCTGAAACTCTAGAATCTCGAGCTTTAAATGCTTGTAATGTTTTAAAATCTTTAACAAGCACATATTGGGGGCTGATCCAAGGATTCTACTAACATTATATAAATCATTAGTAAGGAATCATTTTGAATAAGCTTTTTTTTTGTTTTGCAAGGGTAAGAACTATAGTTGACAAATTAGAAAAGATACAAAATAAATGTTTGCTTATTATAATGGGTGCCATGTGAACTATTCCCATAGTGTCAATGCAGGTGGAATGTAATATACCTCCATTAGCACTTAGGTTTAAATACTTACAATCAAAATTTTTTGCAAGGTTGCTCTCTGTCAGTAACCATCCACTTCTTGTTAAACTACGGGACACTATTAACAGGACTGCAAATATTAATTCATAATTGTTTCAAGGTTTTTCTGAAACAGAACAAATATTTAATAAACATAATATATTTTCTAGCATGGTATGGCCTTGTTACTCTGGGTTATATGAATCAAAATTTATGCAGATTAAAATTGTAATCAAAAGTCTTCTAAAGTGTAAGGAAGACATTTATAGGGAACTTGATAGGTGGCAGGGATATCATCAGATATATACAGATGGGTCTAGGAACAATGAAGCAGTCTCTATAGCTGTCTATAATAGTCAGATCAAAAGTCGATTTGGTCATAGGCTGAATCCACTCACAAGCATATACCCCGCTGAAGCTGTATACACAGCTATGGAGCACATTCAAACACAGACTCATCCAAAGTGGATTATAATAACGGATAGTTTAAGTTTATTAACAGCACTATAAAATCCACAATTAAATTCAAAAATTAACTATATTATATATAAAAATAAGAGAGTTGTATCACCTGCTGTCTCAAAACAAGCAAATAGTCCTATTCTGGACACCAGCTCACATTGGTGTGAATGGTGATGAGCAAGCAGACTATTTAGCTAAATTTATTACAAATCCGGCCCACAATCAATTAAGGCATAACTTTTTAAATTTCCCAATTCCTTATTCAGACGCTCTATCCCTCTTCAAATTCAAGTTACGGAAAGAATTTTACAACTTGTGGCATCAGGTGGTAAAGGTAAAAGGAAAATGGTTCGCTACAATAAAGAAAAAAGTCTCTTCCCAGGTTTACCTGGGGTAGTGACTATAGCCATAGAAAGTATTATACCACAATCTGTCGTTTGCGTCTGGGACATTGTAGTTTTGGTGCTCACCTTTTTAGGGTTGGTGTGTTTGACTCTTCAACTTGTAGATATTGCAATAGTGCTGATGAAACCCTCGAACATATATTTTTTGATTGTCCACAGTTTAGTATTCAAAGGATGGTCCTTGTAGATCAACTTTTAAGTATTTTTAAAACTGCTGAAGATGTCCCGCGCTCTCTTCAGCAAATACTAAGCATTCAAGAATGCTTCTTGCCAGTTTATGGCTTTATTGTTTCTACTATAAATGAAATCTAATTGTTATTTGTACATATGTATATAATACAAATTTATTCGTTTTGTTTTAGATATTTGCTTTCAGCTATTTTCAGAATTTGACTTTTATATCGATTTTGACAAATTAATTATTGTACTAAAAAATTACATTACAAGGTCTTGACATTGAAAGAGACGGAATGTAAAAAAAAAGACTTTGACAAAAAAAAATATTTTAAATAAAGACATGTTTTCGGCCTTATAAGTAAAAAAAGGATTTAAGAAGAAAATTAAAAGAAGACATGGCTTAGGCCTGATATAAAAACTTGAGTTTAGAATAAAAAGGAGATTAAGACATTTAAAAATAATTAAAGATATAAAATACAAAAGACATGGCTGTATGGGCTTTGTTCTCTTTGCCTGTTCTGAACGGAACGAACATAACCAAAAAAAAAAATGTCTATGGTTTACTTCCGTGAGTTTGACAGTTAGTGACAGTGAGGTTGTCACTCGTATAGTCTCAGCCTAATGCAGTAGTGAACGCCATTTTGCGTATCACTGCTGATAGGTACAAAGAGATAATTAATAATCCATTCGTGTTCATCGGTTGAGTTTTCTTAGTTGACGGCTCTTTGTCTCTGAGGAAGGACTTCTATCTACAGCCATGGCTCGAGCCACATTGTTGATGCCACTGGCGCTTCTATTTTTAGCAAGTGTGATTCCGTCGAACGCTCAGAGTAAGTAAATTTCCTATTTCTTGGATTTCATGTTTGTCCTTTAGTAAAAATTAGATAATTTTTCTTGTCCCGAACTTTGTGGCAGCCTATTGCATGATACATATTTGTAGGTCAATAATATAATGTCGTAGTTCTGGGGCTCGGGTGATGTCATAGTACTAGTAATGTTGACTGTCGCTTCTCCATTGTATTGAAATGCACCAAAGTGTTGATCATCGCTGCATCTCGTCTTAATTAATAGCATTAATTAAGGGAGGATAAAATTACAAGCAAAATTTAACAATATCGATCTTCTATAATTAAAATAAAAAGGGAATATAATCTGGTAACCTTGCCATTTATATGTGAACATGTACAGATGTAATACTCAACATACAGTTTGATACTTATTGATTGAGAACAGGACAGGTCATGTGAAATAATTAGGACAATGAGGCAGTTATCTGTAATATATTGTGAGTGATACGGTTTATAGATTAATATGAGGTCTGATAAGAATACACGGTGCCTGCCTCCCATATACACCTTTATATTAAATCAATTATTAATATTCAAGTTAGACTAAACCTCAACACGTAAAGTAAATAACTTATTTTCTAATTTGATAATTAAATGGTCCAATAGTCGGGTTTTAAGTACTGTTTTGTTATATGTACGGTTGTTGAAGTTGAAGACAGCTTTATCTCTTAAGTAAACCAAAAAATAAGAATACTGCAATATGCTTTGTTTGTTAACAGTTCTGTTATCTCTGCAAGAATTATTGTTTGAGTTTCAGGGTTTTTACCTTAATATTTACTCAATGCTAAGTCTCTAAATATCAAATAGAGAGTTATTTTAAAACATGTAACAGTTTTAACTATTCACAACAAAAATTATGTTCATTAACTGAAAGTGTATTTATTAATGGAGCGGTGGCTCATCAGCTTAATTAATGAAAATGGGACAAGGCATATTCAATTATTATTATTATTCAATCTTTTCAATGAGGTTGATCCCTTTGAAAGATCACTGTCAGTGTGACATGAGACTAATCTTAGACATAGGAATAGTTGTGGGGTTGCTCCGAGGACAGTAGGTTTGGAGGGGAGGGGGGTGAGGATTGATGGAGCGTTGTGGCACCGTGCGCAGAGATGGAGGCGGCGGCTGGGGAGGAGAGGCGGGTGACGGTGACGGCCGGGGCTCCGCTGACGGTGGAGTGTCGCCTGCGGCCCGAGCAGCGCGCCGAGTGGCGGAGGGACGGGGCCGCGCCGCCGCCCGACCTACGCGCGGCGCCCGAGGCGGCGGCCGGCGCGGGGCTGGCGGCGCGCCTGCAGGCCCCGGCGGCCCGCGCGCACCACGCCGGCCTCTACACGTGCAGCCGGGAGCGCGACCACCGCGTGCGCGTCGTGGTGCTGCCCGGTACTGGCCGCGCATGCGCCGTCTCTCCGCCCGCTCGTCCTCTCTGTAGTGTAGTCGTTGTGTGCGAGGAGCCTCCTCTGTAGACGCTGTCCGTTTTATTTTAATGGCTCTATTCAAGAAGTAGCGCTTGTTATGTCGTACGCAGTCGATATTTTCTTACTTTTTCTTGAAATTAGTTCTTTTCTAATCTGTTCGCTATAGGACCGTATGAATCTTGTTTCTTTAAGCCTCTCACTGTGTAGTTAGTCGAACTGTTATAATATATGTTATACTAGTAGTTAAAATATATATTTATTATTTTACCGTTTGCACCGTATTGCAGAGAGGTCACATTAACTATTATAAAGGAAAGCATTGTAATGTTATAATAATTCAATGTTTTCTCATATGTTTGCGGTCATTGTAGGTGTCGGGGGTTGAAGGGAGCCTGTATTCTAGTCGGGGTCGGGCCGATGACCGCGTTCTAGTTCATAACTCGCTCACATAAAACGACCTCTAAAGAGCCAGTCTCTTAATTTAATCGTTCACTTCAATGAAAACAAGTTATACTTTTCATATTATTTTATTATACATCACTTTTTTTCAATACACTAATTTTACTTATTATAGAATATTTAAAAAATCAGTTTTAGAAAATAATAAAAAAACCTAGTCTTTGTTTTTGAGGACGAGAAATGTCGTCATAGTACACAATTCCCCCAGCGAGTATAAACACGCTGTATGTGTGCATGTTATGGACACTTGTGTAACTACCCTCGGGGATGTTATTGAGATGTTCTGGAACACCTGGTCCGTTATGTAAGTTGAGGAGCTCGGATTAAATGTGTCGTAAATATTGCATCTGGTATTAAATAGGAATCCCTACTTGTCTACTGTTATAATGATGACATGAGAACGAGCGCAGGAGGACGGGCACATAACACATTAACTAAACATCACAAGAGTCACCTCGGTCGCTGCTGCCGCTCCTGCTGTACTAACATATTAAAACCTTTCACTTAACATTTTAATTGTCGCTGTGGGGCATTTCACTGTGTCATATAATAAAATTATATTTTTCATATAATTGCCCCTCTCTCCTTTGATATGAGAGTTCATTTCAAAGTTTCATTTCCTCGTTTGTCGTCACTCTAAGCTCAACATATTAATCTCCCGAGCTCTTAATGTATCACAAACACTCGGCAGCCGTGAAGGTCTCGCTGAATGCCTCTTTAAACAACCGTGGTTGTAATCGCGTTTAGTTCGTGTATGTGTGTTTGTTTATTACTGTGTATGTCATTAATGTCTTATAAGACGCGATAGTCTCTGTATGATTTATATATTTGTTCTCATAGTTTTTATTCCATAAATCACGTTCTTTTAACTATATAACCAACATGCTGTCATCTATAGCAAAACTCACACTCGCTTTAAAAATAGTTGTTTGTTTTATATTATTTAAGGTGTATGAATCATCGTAATCATCATCTATAAGTAACATTTTCGTTATTTAACTCTAGTTAGTTAATCGATGTACTTAAAATGCTTAGTTAAATATGTATTGTTGGTATGTCACGTTAGTCGGACGGAGCTCACTCCGGGTCCTCACTATACATCTCAGTTTTATTACTTTTTGTTATGAAAAATGCAGACTTGTAAATTTTGACAAGTAGATGTCATCAGATATATCAAGTTGTATAGTTGGAGCGAGGGTCGCCTCCGCCTGCCGCTGAGGACGACCTCCTTCTGTATCCTTTATCGTAGTAGGAGTGTAGCGATGACTTTATCACGAGGCTAGCCATAGTCAGTGTAGCTAGTGGAGGGCTCGTGACGAAAGTCGTTCTGACAGGAGTGTACTTGTCGTTTCCAGCGGAGTCGGCGGCCCCAGAGTCCGTGTCTCCGGCGGGCTCCGAGGCCGGTCCCGCGGCCCCCGCTGCTGCCGGTCCCGGGGACTCCGCCCTGCCCGAGCTGTTGTACGACGTGCGCGGCAACCTGACCCTGCACTGCTCCCTGCCCAACGAAGCCAGCCTCGCATATTTCTGGTGAGTCGGTACTCGTGTGATGTGTGTTCATGTGGTGCAAGTGACCCGGTCGATGTGTCTGTTAACACTACCGAGACTGTTTACTATGGATGTCATTTTCATTTAAATTAAAGTATTAAAGGACTTTATTATTGTGCTCAATTAAATATTAACATAACAACTCGGCCATGAAACTGTTCCGGGTTCATAGCGACACAGACCGCCGCGGATGAGGTTCGAGCGACGTGTTCGTTTTATTATTATATAATATTTTATTCCGCACCGCTATCTCCTTATCATGCAATCACCGAGGACGCCGCGGCGGTAAAGATAACGACAATCACATGACGTCACGACACTATGACGATACCACCGAATAGCTCTTTGATCATCTCATGGATTATTATTACTCATCTTTTTTTTCTTTATTACATATTTCTTGTTGAACGATGACGTCACCAACAAATGGTCTCGTTCCAGGACTAAGAACGGTACGGCCCTGGAGCAGGTGTGGGAGATGACGGGCCGCTACGTGCTGGAGAAGGGAGGAGCCGAGATGAGGATGGCGCGCGCCCTGGAGGACGACTACGGGAACTACACGTGCGGCCTGACGGGGCGGAGCGACACGCAGAGCTGGGCCGTGCGGGGACGACCGCACCTCAAGCTGCCCGCCAACACCAACGTGGTGGAGGGCCAGCGGCTCAAGCTCGTGTGCAAGGTCATCGGCAAGCCCTACAGACCCGTCAGCTGGTGGTACTCCAACTCCTCGGACGGCGAGGGCAACTTCACGGAGGTGACGGCGGCGCTCGGGCCGCGCGCCGTGATAGGATCGGGCGAGGGCGGAGCGCCCGGCGCCGTGCTCACGGTGGAGGCGGCGGCGCGCTCGGACGCCGGCCGGTATCGCTGCAGCGCCCCGGACGCCGCCCTGCCCGCCACCACCACGCTCCGCGTCAAGGACATGTACGCCGCGCTGTGGCCCTTCCTCGGCATCTGCGCCGAGGTGTTCGTGCTCTGCGCCATCATCCTGGTCTACGAGAAGAGACGCACCAAGCCCGAGCTCGACGACTCCGACACCGACAACCACGACCAGTGAGTCACGACACATACACCCCCACCCTCACACACACACACACACACACACACACACACACACACACACACACGCACACACACACACCGTCTCTCATCGTTGTCTGATCATGTTTTCCTTATCTTTCCAGGAAGAAGTCGTAAGCCGTGAGCCGCGCGCCGCCTCGGTCCGTTCGTTAGCTATTTCAAGTTTTGTTTGTGAAGATATTACCAAAAATATTAATGTTTGTTATTTAGTTAAGAAATGTAGTCGCGAGAGAGAGCCCGGCACCGCATCGTGTACATAAATAAGATCGAAAATGGAATTTATATATGTTGTTTGTTTAATTCGTCGCTTCGTCACCTCACCCCTCGTCCGCGTGATACTTAACGTCTGTAACTTAACTCTGTATGTGTGTCTGTAACTGTAACCCTAGCCCTGTCCCGGGTCGGAGCCGGTCCGCGGACGATCTTTTCGTAATCAATATAATGTACAGAAGACCCCGCTGTAATTACTGATACTAATAAAAAATTTCCGAAAACATTTGTCGACTTTTATTTCACGGTTGACATTATTTTATTACTAAATATTTTTAGCATGTGATAAATTTGATTTTTATAATAATAGTCCAAGAGCCAGTAAGAGAAATATACGCAAATTCCTCTTAAAGTTAGATATAATTAGTAAAACGCACTAGAAAATTGAACCATAAAGCCTCGTGAAGGTCAGCTGAGGCTCGATGGGGGAGATGAGCGGTTGTAAGCTCCCACGCTTGAAGAAATAAAAATACATTCAGTCATTTCCTCTCGGCTAAAAATTTATCAAGTTATAGCTAAACCAATACCTCAACAAATAAAAGTCAGCTGGCTATAACATAATGTATTGTACGTCAGCTGATGTCTAGATCATGGAAATGAAAACATTCATAATCAGAATATACATTAATTTCATTTAAACATTGATAATATTCGCGCCTAATGTTACAGCAGTCCCATCAGAACGAACATCTATATAGGTACTTTATGAATCTCTCAACTACCTGAGCCACGAAAGTATCTTTAAACGATTAGGATCTGTTCGTCACAGCTTTATAAAAGTTACATATTTAAATAGGAATATCCATTATCCAGTGAAGATTCAAACATTCTTATTAATTACCTTAATTTGAAAACATCAAACAAGGCAAACGAAATAACATTTATTTGTGTGTACACAACCTGCTTACTAATTAAAACTATCTTAATACTTTTTATTAAAACGAATAACATTAACTTTCTTTTAGATCAATCTCAACTGGTCACACACCTTGACACTTATTTTAATTTTATTATCTAACGACAATATTGAAAATCTACTCTTAACTAATTTCAATAAAAACAACACCATCACAGAGCTCACAACTATAATTTTCCATAAATCGTTAATAAATTAATCTACTGTTTACTAATTAAAACTTATTCACATGCGCTTAGAAAGGCAAATGACAATATTCAATAATAATAAAACGGCAAAAAATATACAGGGTGACTGGTGAATTACTATCAATATTTAAGGAGAATACTCGGTACATGATTCTCATTCGAATTATGTAAAAAAATAAGCACTTAATTTTTGACAAAATTTCCGGATAAATAAATAAAGTGTTGACACGTTCCAAGTGTGGACGCGTGCGGCGGCGTGGTGTTGTATCAGCGTATGTGTGAGTGTGTGTGTATACCTAATCTGTAGGGTGTTCATACGATGCGTAATTAATTACATAACTTTTGGTTAACTTAACTTAGAAGTTTATTAATGTATATGTTATATTAATTTTTATTTTGTCATATATGATCGTCAAATATCACGTCCTCAAGTATCGATAGTAATTCACCAGTCACCCTGTATAAGGACATTTAGTATATAAGGACATTTGGTATATAAGGAAAATTGGTATTTAAGGAAAATTTGTATATAAGGACATTTGGTATAAAAGGAAAATTGGTATATAAGGACATTTGGTATATAAGAAAAATTGGTAGGTACTTCATATAAATACCTTCATGTACATGCTAGTCAGGAGACTAAGAGTATATGGAAAAGAAAGATAACATCGGTGGAATACTCTGAAGATATGAAGTTGTGAAGAGGTTCAGGAACATTCAGAATAACATCTTAACTAGTAGGAACTCACAGGTTCATGGTTAAGAAGTTAAATAAAAGTAGAGCGAATAAAAGTTAATTTGTTAGCAGTACTACATACATATGTACATACGTTTAGACGTTAACAGGTAAAAGGAGTCCCCGCGCCTCACAGGAAGTAAACTGGTTAATAAAATGCTTTGCTGGTTTTGAATCAACTGAACTGTTTTATTTTAATTACTCATTCGTTCCTTCAACAGATTATACATTCATTTACTTAGGAATGACCATAGATAGCGCTGCTGGACATAATATGTGAATTTTTGTTACAATTATTTAACACCCTGACCTAACAAAATAAACTAAATTTCAAAAAACAAAAGTATACAGTAGTTGTAATCAAATATACTACACTTTATATGTAACTACACTTTAGAAATACCCATTAAACTTAAAAACTTGTAATGTTTATCTTTACATACACTTTTGGTCAATATATCAGCTGGCATATTATTTGTTGACACATATTCAATTTTAACTTTATTTTCTAAAACACATTCTCTTACATAGTGGTGTCTAATATCTATATGTTTAGTGCGCTTGTTGTGAAACAATGAATTAGAAGCTAATTTAATCGAGCTTTGGTTATCACTATACAAATGCAGTGGCATATCTATATATTGTATAAGCTCTTTTAGTAAGTTCATTAAATAAATGCCTTCCTTACAAGATTCAGATAAGGCCATGTATTCTGCTTCTGTACTAGATAGTGCTACAGTTTTCTGTTTCTTAGATTCATAGGACACTACAGAATTTGACATTAGAAAGCAAAATCCAGTATATGACCTTCTATCAAGTGAACAAGAAGCCCAATCTGCATCTACAAAGCCATGCATATTACAATTGGTTTTCTTATATACAAGACCATAATCTCTAGTACCTTTCAAATACTTTAATAAACGTTTTAAATGCTTCCAATGTGTTTCATTGAAACAATTATTGTATTGACTTAAGAAGCTTACACTAAATGCAATGTCTGGTCTGGTAAGTACTGACAAATACATTAAACTACCTATTAATTGTTGGTATGGATAATTTTTATTCAAACTATTATTCATATTCTTTTCCAGCTTCAAATTAATTTCCATAGGAGTATCACAAGATGAGCAATCTGACATATTAAATCTCTTAAGAATAATATCTATATACTGCTTCTGGTCTACAGTAATACTGTCTTTGTACACATTTATATTCATACCGAGACACTGTTTCAACTGACCTAAATCTTTGATCCTAAATTTTTCAACTAACTCATTTAGTAATAGTGTATATTCATTCTGACAATTAAAGAAAACAAAAAAATCATCCACAAACAGAGCAATATATACTTTAACACTTTTATAACTTTTTATAAAAAGACAAGGTTCATAATCAGATTTTCTATAGCCTAACTTTAACAAACAATCCTCAACTCTAACATACCAAGCACGTGCTGATTGTTTTAGACCATAAATTGCTCTTTTGAGCCTTAGAACTTTGTTATTACAATTGTTAAATTCTGAACATTCTGGTACTTCCATGTACACAGTTTCTTTTAAAACTCCATTTAGAAAGGCTGTTGGAACATCAAGATGGTTCATACATAAATCTAATTGAACACTTAAAGCTAATAACAATCTAAATGTAGAATATCTTAAAACTGGTGAAAAAGTTTCATCAAAGTCAATACCCTTTTTCTGGGTAAAACCTTTGGCCACAAGCCTGGCCCTGTAGCGCACTTCACCATCACTGTTAAGTTTCTTTTTAAACACCCACTTAGCTTTGACCACAGTTTTGTCTTTTGGCCTATCCACAAGCTCCCAAGTGTCATTATCACTAAAAGATTTTAACTCTTCCCTTATTGCACACTGCCATTGTTCTTTTTCTGAACTATTTAACACATCACTAATAGTAAGCTCTTCACCCGCTATTTCCACACACATGCTTGCAACATTATAATAGTCTGGTTTGCGTCTCACACGTTTTTCAGGCAAATTAGTGTCACATTGCGTGGGGAGGACATCCAGGTCATCTGGTGATAAAGTATCACAGTAACTATCATCAGTGTCATTAGAAGATTCATTCGGTATGAATGTCTCATCCATCGGGTTGTCACTGGTATCCTGTTCCTCACTAACAGAGTCGTGTTCCTCTTCTGCTTCTTTGGGTGGTCTGCTCTCATCAATAGTGATGGTTGTCGCGGAGCTGTCATCTGTGTTCTCCATGACCACGACATCTCTGGCTGTAATAACATCTCGTGCTTCTGGATCATATAAACGATAGCCCTTGATACTCTCAGAATACCCAACTAGGAACATCTTCTTCGCTTTCTTGTCCCATTTCTTGCGTTTTTCTTTAGGGACATGTACCATGACTGGGCTGCCAAATACACGCAGATGATCCAACTTTGGCTTTCTGCCCGTCCATATTTCATAAGGAGTTGTCTTGTGACCGATACCTGCAGCTGGTACACGATTTAGTATGTACACTGTCGTATGTACGGCCTCTGCCCACAGGTTCTTCTGAAATTGAGCATCAAATAGGAGACAGCGAGCTTTTTCAACTATGGATCTGTTATATCGTTCACACAATCCATTCTGCTCCGGGGTGTAACTATTTGTTTTCTCATGTACTATGCCACACTGCCTTAAGTAGTTCTCCATTTCCTTTGAACAGAATTCACCTCCATTATCAGACCTTAGGATTTTAATCCGTTTTGACTGTTGAGTCTCCACAAACTGTTTATATTGTTTGAAATATTTGAAGGTTTCATTCTTCTCTCGTAGAAAATAGACAGTGCACATCCTGCTATAGTCATCGACAAATAATAAGAAGTATCTAGCTTTACCTAGTGACACGATCTCCATTGGTCCACATAAGTCTGTATGGACCAAATCCAGGACTCCTCTACTCTTGGTTGCACTGTGAGGAAATGGAAGTCTTGTTTGTTTCCCTTCACAGCAAACTGTGCAACTATTCTTGCTGATGTCACACTTGTCACTGTAGCTAACACCTTCAACTGCTCCATTCTTCAATTTCTGCATATCAGTGGCATTTAAATGTGCAAGTCGCCTGTGCCATGTTGAGCTTGATACATTCACTGATTCTGCAAATGTCACCTCAGTTTTCACATGTAATTTGTATACACCATTTTCCAATGTAGCTACACCAATACATTCATTCTGTAAGTTGTATATTGAACATCCATTTTGGTGAAATTCAACTCTATTCCCGTTGGCAATTATTCTACTCACTGATAGTAAATTAGTCGTCAGGTTAGGTACATACAAAACATTGTTCACGATTATGTTGTGGTTCTGATTACCGACACACGTCGTAATCTCCAAATCCCCTGAACATTCAACAGGCACTATCGTTTTATTCGCCACGATAATCTCCTTAATCTTCGGTTGAAAACAAATATTTGACAGCAAATTCTTGTTGGAAACCAAATGAGTACTTGCGCCGGAATCCAAGTGCCAGTCGGTTTGACTAAATCCTTTTGTGAGAAATACACTAAATGCATTCGTTTTTACTTTTTCTGTGTGAGGACATCGATTTTTAAAATGTCCAATCTGCTTGCACTTGTAACAACGAATTATTTTATTTCTCGCCGATGCACTATTATTGCTGCCATCACTGACATTGACAGTTGACGGATTCGTTCTGTTTCCGTTCATTCTATTGCCGCCGTAAGTGCCGCCGCCGCCATTTTTATGACTTTGAAAATGCCTTTTGGCAATAAATGCACCTTCCGATTTCACTTCAATACTCATATCCAACAGTTTTGTTTTAATAGCGTCCGCACTCATGTTGATACCTGAATGTTCTATTGCCATTATCATAGGTTCAAATTTCTCAGGCAATCCGGCTAACATTAACGATGCTATCCACTGGTCATTTATTTCGAAACCAGTTCCTTGCAATTTCTGTGCGGTTTCCATAAGCTGGCTGACATAGCTGGTCATTGAATCGCAGTCTTCTAGGCGTATACTGATGAGGTTTCTAAGCAAACTGATTCTACGTGAATATCCAGAATCGTCGAACATATTCTTCAAGGTTCTCCATAATTCATATGTCGTTGCACATTGCTTTATATGGACATATAAAGATGCGTCGATTGTTAGCACTAGTTTTGCTTTTGCCTTCATATCGTCTGCTTTCTGAATCGATGTAGCCGTTTCTGCTAATGGCGCCTTGATAGCGTCCGCCATGCCTTCGAGTACTAGCACATTTTCCGCCGCGAAGCACCAGTCGTCATAATTTTCACGACCTTTCAACTTCGGTATATTTGCTAAATAGTTCGTCGACATTTTTAATACTAACTGCACGGATAGATCAATTAAAACTTATTTTTTTGCGAACGCTAGGCCCATAACCTAATAAAATGCTTTGCTGGTTTTGAATCAACTGAACTGTTTTATTTTAATTACTCATTCGTTCCTTCAACAGATTATACATTCATTTACTTAGGAATGACCATAGATAGCGCTGCTGGACATAATATGTGAATTTTTGTTACAATTATTTAACACTGGTAACGACAATTTTATATATACTCTTTATTGCACTGTAAAAATTTACATGGTTATTTTACATACAGAATTATTGTTCACAAGGGCGGGCTTATTTCTATAAGAATTTTAATGATCACTAGGAATCAAACGGATGTAAGAAACAATATTTTAAATCGTAGCTGCAACATTCAGCTCTGAGTCACGTTCGCTTCAACCGGTTTTGTTTTATTAGTTTTCATATATTTATTTTATTCAAACAAACACACATATCATGAGTATATCGAGTCGCCATCTCTAACCACATCCTCGTCCGCGCACCTGTATATACACCACGAGTCGTGTCTCCAGTCACCGCAGGTTCCTTCCTACACGTCTCTTTCATTCCTCTGTAACAAGTTTTCTGTGAGAGCGGGGCGGCCGGGGTCGGGATCAATGAAACAAACGGATTTATAAAACCTCTCTATTAATAATTGAAAAACAAAAATATAATATTACATCACAGTAACAGGTCCACCCCGCCGCGTTCTGTAACCCTACAGACTACAGGCGGACTTCAAAACAATGTTAAAATATTTATTTCCTCTAAACTTGAACTCAAACCGATACAACCATCACGTGTCAGGTCCGAGGGAATGTGAAGTGTACCTATCGTTTGTATCGTGTGCTCGGTAACAAAAAACTAAATATTGTGCAACGTCTCATGGCAGACGTAGGATCGTGTGGCGGGTGCTAGAGGTCCAGGATGTGGAGGTCCACGCCCCAGCCGGTGACCGCCACGTGCGGCGGAGCAGCCTGCAGCAGCCGCGCGTGGGAGTCGGCCAGGCGCCGCGGACCGAACATGGCGTGCCCCGCCGCCGACACCTGCACCCAGCCCCCCGCCGCCCCGCCCGACCCCTCCAGCACGCACTCCAGGCGCCAGGCGTGCGGGTCGCGCGCGTGGTGCAGCGTCACGAAGTACGTGCGGCGCGCGCCCCACGCCGGGCCCTCCCGCGGCGGCCCGGCCAGCTCGGAGCAGCTGGTGACGGCGACCCCCTCCGCGGGCGCCAGCACCAGCACGGCGTGTTGCGTGCCCGCCAGGTCGAGCTGCAGCGTGCGGCGGGCCGGCGCGCCGTCCGCGGCCAGCAGGCGCGCGTCCACCCGCAGGCGCGGCAGGGGGGGCTCCGGCGCCGGCATGCTGTACCCTCGCGACACGCGCGACCACACGGGCAGGAAGTACGGGGCGCCGCAGTAGGCCCAGCGCGAACACTCCTCGGGCGAGGTGACGCGCGCCGCCCGACACGCCGTCCACTGAGGGACCGTACACATTACAATGTTGTTTGATTATTTAGTTCGCAGTAAGTTAGAGTACTGTTCAACTACTTGGAATCCATATTATAATGTCCATAAAGACAGAATAGAAAGAATATTTGAAAAATATTTACGATATTTATGCTTTATTGATAAAAATAATTTACAGAACGAAAATTACAAGACTATACTTGCTAACTATAATGCACTTTCTTTAGTAGATCGCAGAGATGTGCTGGACCTGTGTTTCTTTCATAGAATTATATCCGATACTATCGACTGTCCTGATCTATTAAATCAAATTAATGTTGTAGTTCCTAAACAAAATGCCAGACATACAACATACTACACTTTTAAAAGTAGATTTTCTAGGACCAATTTAGGCCAAGCTGCGCCAATAAGTAGAATCATAAAATGTTATAATGATATTGAGCGTAAAGCAAACCTAGACATTTTTAATGATACTTTGAATTTGTATAAAAGTAAAATTAAAAAACATTTCCATTCTCAATAATATGTCATGTCACAACTTTTTTTTTTGCTATATAAGTTTCTTTTTATAGGTATAGCTGTTTTTAGATTTTTATTATTATTTGTTATTCCTTTTTGTTGTTATATACATACTTTTTTCACCATTTTTTTTATTGTAAGTTTTGGAGTAAGATCTATACATTATGTAACCCATGTTGAGTTAGCCTGTAAGTGATGATACGCAACTGTAAACAATTATGTTCCATCATGGTTATAATGTAAAGTTTTTGTGTATCACGATGGCTTCCTATTAAATAAAATAAAAAAAAAATGTAAAATAAAAAGTGTTCGTAGGAAGGAGACGTGTGTACTGTGTATGCCGCACACGGTGACTCACTGTATTTGTCCATGGAGTGCGGCGTGTTGACGTCCAGCTCCGGCATCCAGTACAGGTCTTCTATGGAGGCGGGCTCGAGCGCGCCCGGCGGAGTGTACGAGCGACGAGTGTGGAACACCATGAGCCGCTGAGGACGCGTGTCGCTGTACGGCGCGCCCAGCGGACTCAGCGAGTACAGCGCGCCCACACAGCTGGCGGCCAGCAGCGAGCACAGCTGGCGGTTACAAGTAGGCTTAGTAAAGAGTATTAATGTTTCTCTTATTGTCCGAGTAGACGAATGTTATACATTAATCTCAGCTTTAAGGCGCAAGTGACCATGTTGAGTGATTTTTGTAAACACCTTGATATGTATAATTAATAAGAGATAAAAGTAATGAAAATTTTATAAAAGATTTAAGAGATGAAATAAAGTCGACTGCAAATTGGTCCGGACCATGCATTCATATATTAAAGAATGTAACTAAGATTGAGAATGATGAAGAAAAAAAGATATATACGGATATAGGAGGCCCTCTTCCTAAAGATTATGAGGAAAATATGTATATATTAACCATTCAGTGTGAGTTAAGTAAGTTTATAGATGCTTATCCACTTAAGAATAAGGATTCCATTAGCGTCGCTAGGGCGTTAGTTGATAATTTTATTTTAAGATTCGGCATCCCTAAAATAATAGCAACTGACCGAGGAACTGAGTTTACTTCTGCCACCATGAAACAGGTATGTAAATTATTAAACATAGATGATATTACATCAACAGCATACCATCATCAGTCAATAGGTTCGTTAGAGGATGCTCATAAAAATTTAGGCACATTTTTACGAATTTATTGCGACAAAAACAAGCAATCTTAGTCTTATTGGTTACCATACTGGAGTTTTAGTTTTAATACTACTGTCCATAATGAAACAAAATACCAACCGTTTGAACTTGTATTTGGTAGACAATGTAATATCCCTAATCGACTATCGGTTAGTGAACTTAAATATAGGTTGCAAATTGCTTATAAAGATGCCCGAAATAATTTGTTACATAGCAAATATAATAGAAAAACTAAATATGATAAGTATGTTAATACTGTTGTTTACAATTAAGATGATTTAATTTTAGTAAAATCATAAACAAGTGGAAAATTAGATGAACTGTTCAATGGACTATGTACTGTATAATAGAAGATATGGGATTTAATGTTAAAATAATTAAAGATAATAAAATAGACATAGTACATAAGAGTAGAACAAAAAATATATATATATATATATATATATATATATACAGGGTGACTGGTGAATTACTATCGATACTTGAGGACGTGATATATGACGATCATATATGACAAAATAAAAATTAATATAACATAAATATTAATAAACTTCTAAGTAAAGTTAACCAAAAGTTATGTAATTAATTACGCATCGTGTGAACACCCTACAGATTAGGTATACACACACACACACATACGCGAGCGGCGGCGTGGTGTTGTATCAGCACGCCGCTGCACGCGTCCACACTTGGAACACTTGGAACGTGTCCGCACTTTATTTATTTATATGGAAATTTGGTCAAAAATTAAGTACCTTTTTTTTTACATAATTCGAATGAGAATCATGTACTGAGTATGCTCCTTAAATATTGATAGTAATTCACCAGTCACCCTGTATATGTGTAAGCCCATTTTTTTTTCTTTCACCCCCGAAGGTGAAGTGTAATAAATATAGTGTGTATGCTATATTACAGAATTAAGTCTAGTGTAAAGTCTCCTTTATAAAACATATCATGTATACATCCAAATATGGCTGACCGCCCATTGGCCCAAGCTTTCATTATGTTATGTTAATATCTTCTAATATTATTAAATGTGAATTAATGCTACAAAGACGTTTCCTTTCAAACCCAGTAATTAACCACATTAGACGAGGAATATGTACCAGAAGGTTGAGTCTCTTGGCGGCGACCACGAGCGGCAGCATCCAGCTGAAGGTGAGCAGGGTCAGGGACGACACCACCACCGACATCATCACCTGCACACACGACACGGGTCACTGAGAGAGAGAGAGAGAGAGAGAGAGAGAGAGAGGCGGCGGCAGGCGGGTGCGAGGGAGAGAGATACACTCACGTCTGCCGGCAGGAAGGACGTGCCCGCGCGACCCATGATGGGCACGAACATGTTGATGGAGTTGAGCGCCAGGTACGACGTCTGCAGGGCCGGCAACACCGCGCCAACCGCGTGGAGCACGGCCGCCGTGCGGGGAGGGGGGGACGAGCCCGCGAACAGGCGGAGGGGCAGCGGGGAGAGGGAGGGGAGGGTCCACAGGGCGGGCAGGAACGAGGAGCGGAGACCGAGGACCACGAGCACCGCCAGGGAGGAGGCGGTCAGCAGAGACAGGGCGTCCCGCCAGGCGCGCCACGACACCCAGCCGCGGAGCAGCCCGGCCGGCCCGCGACGAGCACCCACCGACAGGCGAGCGTCCGCCCACGACCCCGCCAGCGCTGGACCCACAGACAGAATTAACAAAGATAGAAAGAAAAGACATTTATTGACATACACACAAAGAAAAAAAACAACATTATACAGAAAAGGATATGAAAACAATATTACACAAATAAATAAAATTCATATAACACTTGTGTGCAGTCAAAAGGAGACAGCTCAGGCTATGGGGCCGTCCATATATTACGTCATTCTAAATTAGGGAGGGGGGGTTGGTCTGCGGATGACGGTAAATGATGGATTGAGGGGGGGGGGTGTTTCGAAATTGATGTCATTCTTATTTATTTATTTATAGTTTATTGTTCACGTACAAAAAGATTATTTCTAAAAAGAAATTTCTTCCAGCACACCTAGTAAGTGAGACTGCAAATGTGAGAGGCGGCTAAGGCGCCTAACAACATCTAACAATAATATAAAATATAATACTAGCTGCCCGCCACGACTTCGCCCGTGGTACTTACATGTATTATACATATGACAACCTTCGTTAAGAATCACTCTATCTATTAATAAAAACCGTAATACATAGGGATAGACAGCGAGAGCGACTTTGTTTTATACAATGTATTGATAATAAACGCAATACTTAAATAATATCTACAACATTACATAATTAATAAAAGTACATAAATACTATACTTATACTTAAATACATTCCAAGGAAAGATAGGGTTTCTGTAATATTTTGCAAGTATTTAAGGGTATTAATTATTGACTCATTATTTATTTATTTATTACAAGGTCAAGGTATGTCTACATTATTTTTTAAAACTATAAATTCAACTATACTATAAAGGTGATTCTTTAACCAAGTGTTTTAATCATATAATACCCTATTGTTCTCAAATCTGCAATGTTTTAATTTTGTCAAACTGGTAATGACGTCAATTTTGGGAGAAGGGAGGGGGGGTCTAAAATCTGAACAAATCAATGACGTAATTTATGGACGGCCCCTATGAGGGTTTTTATCCCTCTGCAGATTTTCAGCTGTCTCCCTTGTGGCCACGCAATGACAGTGTCAACCAAAGTAAAAACCAAAAAAACATATTTCCATTTTATATACTAAACGATATTGAAGGCCAAACGAAGTGTAAGTAACAACGCGTACTACTATAAGGTATGTTAGTTATTATTTTATTTAGTATTTTTGTTAATTGTACATATATAAAATTTATTATCAATCTGTTTGTGTTATTGAAATATGTCTACTAATAATGTAATCGTATTTTCAGGGAGTAAATATATCATTGGGTAATATGGCCATAACCGATAGGCAAGTAATTTATCAAATTAAAAAATAATTATATATTAAATACCTAGGTATACTATACATAATATTTAAAAAGGTTGTTGAATAAAAAATAAAATAAATAAACATAAATAACTAGTAATAGTACTATAGATTATATAAAAACAAGATCTATGTTTGCTTTTGTAAATTTAGCAAATGGGTCTCGAATTTTGTTTTAAAATTATGAATGTCTTGCGGATAGGCGGTGGCAAGTTGTTCCAGATTTTGCTCGCGGAGTATCGGAAATAGGAAGCACTCACCGGGCAGAGCGTACAGCGGCACGAGCAGCGCCGGCTGGGAGTAGAAACACATCCTGGCGCCGAGCACGTGCAGCAGCAGGGCCACGCTGGCCGAGGCGGCGACCCCGGCCGCCGTGCACAGCAGCGCCCGCCACGCCGTCAGCATCACCAGCTTGAGCCACAGGCGCGCCGGCAGGTACACTGCAGCACAACACTCGTCAGAGAGGTCCCCTGCCTGTGTGTAGGCGGGCGGCGGCCGCTGTACGTACGTTCCCTGGCGGCGTCCCTGGCCGACAGCCCCAGCGCCAGCAGGGTGAGCAGCACCAGCAGCAGGGCGAGGCCGGCGGCGAGCGAGGCGCGAGCAGACACCACCACCACACCCACCACGTCGAAGAACACCGGCTGACGCTCACGCTCCGTCTCTTGGTCCAGGCGCTCGCTGCTCAGCAACCCTGCACACGACATAGTATATAGAGCTACAACTGACACTGCTATTGTGTTCTCTGGTCATTCGTGGGACGCCGTTAGAAAGAGCACTGAAGAAGGTATGGCTCGAGTTGCAATTTGGCTAAAACTCAATTGTCTAACATTAAATACTCATAAAACTAACTTTATCACTTTCAGTATAAAAAATAGTTAACGACCCAAAACTAATTTTCGTATAAAAATTCATAATCGTAATGAAGTAAGAGGTAATAACTGCAATTGTCCATTAATGAATAAAGTGAGTCGAATAAAATACTTGGGAATAATGGTCGACCAGAACTTGTCATGGTACCCGCAAATTGAACATGTTGCGGCACGTATTAGCAAATTCACGTGGATGTTCAAATCACTGAGACATATTGTAACCAATAATACTGTAAATGACTCCTCAAACAATCTCTTAAATCAAATTTATATAGCTTTGGTGCAATCCATAATAACATACGGCTTACCTTTTTGGGGAGGTGCACGTAAAACACGTTTCATGGAAATTGAACGAACTCAAAGAGCATTGATTAGTAATGTTTTTTAAAAACAACAGAAAGACTCTATGAAGAAAGTGGTTTGTTAACTGTACGGAAATTGTATATTGTGCATACTGTTCTTAAAAAAACACAAGTCTTTAACCCACGATATATCGTTACTCAATAAACGTATAGCATATAATGTTATATCTATCCCTGCTACTAAAACAGTCTTCACTAGGACTCAGTATGATAATAGATCTGCTTACTAATATAATAAAATAAATAAATACGTTGATATATATTCAAAGACTTGTAAAGAGTGTAAAATTAAAATAATAAAATCTTTTAAGTTTTCAAGAAACGGATTTTTTTTAGAATATAGGAACTAGTATTCATATGATACACACACCAACATACACATACACACACACACACAAGACTCGAATTACTTTATATTTAAGTACAAATTTGTTAAAGAAAAAAATAATAAAGTATGGGTCCGTGTACGTGTGTGTGTGTGTGTGTGTGTGTGTGTGTGTGTGTGTGTGTGTGTGTGTGTGTGTGTGTGTGTGTGTGTGTGTGTGTGTGTGTGTGTGTGTGTGTGTGTGTGTGTGTTACCGTGAGCGAGGGCGAGCACGTTGTCTCCAGTCCGCTGGAGGGCGGGCAGCGGCACGCGGTCGGCCGTGTCCAGCCGCGTGTGGTACACGTACCCGTTGCTGCTCCACGCGAGGTCCACGCCTGGCGAGCACACGCACATATACGAACCACGTGGAATGTAACACAGACAAACCTTATGCATATACTTTTATGGAACGTTTTAGAAATATTTGAAAATTACTCAATGTCAAACATAATAAACGTTTCTGTTCTACCATTGAAATCAAACTAATGAATAAATAATGATGGAGTAGTGTCCGTTCGGTTGTATGTCAACAGACGGGGAGCGGGGAGCGGGGAGCGGGGAGGCGTGTCGACGCTCACCGGACATGTTCCCGTAGTCCCTGAAGATCCGGAAGTCGGTGTCGGCGGGGATGAGGCCGCTCTCGAACAGCTCCTGCGCCAGCGAGGACGCGAAGGGGTGCGGCACGGCGCCCGCGTACACCTCCACGATCCAGGGGTCGTGCGGCCCGGCCTGGAACAGCACCTCGCGGCCGCCGGCGCCGCACGCCTCGATGTTGATGAAGGCCCGCGCGCCGCGCGCCCACGCGTGCCCGCTCACGAAGGCGTGGCTGGCCTGCAGGATGTTCTCCTCGGCTCCGTTCAGCAGCACCAGCACGCGGTGCCTCAGCGGCCGGCGGGACGCGGCCAGCGCGCGGGCCGTCTCCAGCGCCACGGCACAGCCCGCGCCGTCGTCGCTGGCCCCTGGACACGTCTTATATCTTTCATTATTGTTACTACAACATTGATAAACTCATATCTTATAAGTTATAACCGAACCGTGTGCGTGTGTGTGTGTGTCTACCTTCATAGTGCGGTATACCTGTGTCGTCTGTAGTGTGAGGTACTCCGTTCTGTCGACGTGTTATATTCGTATCAGCCTATCATCACTTTTATCAGTAGTGTCTATGCGTGTACAGTGTACACTGTACATGTACAATTACATGTGTACAAATATAGATAGGAGGTTAATGACAGGAACAGGAAAATGGTGCAGCCTAACATAAAGGAGAGGTAAAAAAATTATACAATGTATCACATCATACTACATCATTCCTTGCCTAAACTCAATCACAACAGTACAATAAGGAATAATAAAATTTTATTTTATCTCTAGAAACACGAATTTTTAAGTAACATTTTTAAGGAAATTATATCTACCTATATACATATATTCGTTAAACCGACCAAAGAGAACTAGAGGTCACCGTGACATATACGACTGGAGGGTTAGCGTGACACTCTGGAGTCTGGAGTAATGATGACGGGTCTTATGAGACGAGGGACAGAGAGGGACACGAGGGAGTGCAGGAGTGTGTGTGTGTGTGTGTGTGTGACTGAACGATAGAGAACATGGGGTCGAGCTACACGACATCCTACGTAAATAAAACGTCCTTTTTGTAATATGACGACTAGACCAAAGGATTGCAAAAGATAGAAACAGTTTGATTCCGACTTTGTTTCCTTTCAATTATAATTTGTGAACTGTGAATAGACTGTCACTAAGATACAGCGTTAACCGCAGGCGCCTACTACTACATATTCACCAACAACTCGGTGGAATGATAGTCAAACATAATGCAGACGTTATCAATAAATGAACAGCATGCGTGTGTGTGTATATCTGTCTCTGAGTGTGTGTGTGTCCGTCTCACCAGGACTGTCGGGCACGGTGTCGAAGTGGCAGTTGATGAGTAGAGCGGCGGGAGGTCCCGGGCGGGTCCCCCGGCCCGGCCCGCTCGCCTCGCCCGCGCCTCTGATGCGGATCACGACGCTCTGAACGTCGCGGTAGATGTTAGTCATGCCTGCGGAGGGGTCATTTGAATTTATTATGTATTATGAATAATCACCATCGACACTCATTTTCCTCGAGAGCGAGCAACGGGCGCCCTATATATCTATTATAGACTTGTTTAAATGAACTAAGAGGAAAATTAGAATGTTACTGACTCGACATACACTCGACATTAGAATATTACTGATTATTATATTACCATCGAGAAACGTGAGCGAGAAGGCGCCGCTGGCCGTGAACACGTCGTAGTCCACGAGGTTGTGTTGGCTGGCGGCGGCGGCCACGGAGCGGGCGGCCGACACCAGCTGCCGGACGGCCAGCACCTCGTTCTCATAGCTGCCCGCCACCTGCCGCCACGTGCACTCTATATATATACCGGCGCGGGGGAGTCAGTCTGTGCCCGCCCCTCACACCCCGCACACATACCCGCGGACCGATGGACGTCAGGTTGATGAGGTGCTCGTAGGCTCTCTCGGCGCTGAACAGCTGGGCCGGTGCGTCTGTCGGCAGAGGCTCCGGCAGCCGGCGGTCCACGGCGCCCGCGGCCAGCAGCGTCCCGGCCGTCAGACACGCACAGACACACACCACCCACACGGGCACCACGCCTCGCTCCACTACATTCTCCTTCAGCAGCAGCTCCTCCTCGCGACGCTCCTGCGGGGATCGACACGTGATTAGGGAAACGACGAAGCATTACCTATGAGGATTGACTATCAACAAAATATATGTGGTACAGGATCGCTGTCGCGGCGTGAGGACTCCCGTTTCTGACTCTCTCCTCCCGAGTCAGATCATTCGGACATTGATTTCGTTTTATTTAACGAGTTATCTTCTAAGTTTGAATTGTACTTTTAAAAATTTACTTTCAGTATTAGTTTGAAGATCTTAGACCGCGTTCAGCAAGGTGTGTGAGAAGTATGTATTTGAGACGTTTATTAAAAGCGAGAAGCGCGCCTAATGTGTTAATAATAATAACGAGCGTCCTAGAGCTCCTCAATGTCGGGGTAATAAAACATTAATTACATCTAATCGAACTCTGATAAATCCTATTAGATTTCATATAAAAACACATCGTAAAATAACAACAATGAAATTGATTATGTAAAAAATCTATATTAGTACTGTAGTCAAATGTCTTATCAGACAACATAAAAATATTTTTTGCACCTGACGGAACTTGTACCCATTTAAAAAATATAGGAAAATGTTAATTTTCGAAGGTTAAAAAAAAACATACCGGATCCTTATTCATTTTTCTCTATAATTTGATTGATTTGGTAACTTTTCCTGCATATTATTTATAATAACTTAAGAAAATTAACAAATGTCTTAATTTAAAAAATAAAATAATTAAAACAAATTAACTGGTGAGCACTAGATTCTATCACTGCAACAGATCACAACCTCAGCCGCATTGCCTACTGCCCGATATCTAAAAATTTCATGAAAACAATTTGATAACTGTCAATTTACAAATGACGGATATTTAATAGTTGCCTGGTACTAAAAATATGAAGTTATAAAATTGTTTACAGTTCTCAAACAGTTATAATAATAAAAGATGTTTTAAGACGACCACGACTTATCGTTTTTTTAGATAATACCTTAATTTTTTTTTAGATTATGTAATTATGAGATATCAAAGATGCAGAAAAATTGCATAAAATTGTATATGTTAAAATTTTTGTTCCAAATTTGTTGCTTACAATATTAAGCAAAGATTAATTTTTATTTTTTAAATTATAGGAAACTTAAGGGAAAGTCCATTGACAGTAAATATTAGTATACAAATTAAAGAATATTATTAACTATTTAACCAATCGTCTACAACTGTTAGGCCTCATTATGTGTAACAATTTGTCATCTGCCATACCTATATACACATTATATGATATAGAGTATAGACATTGACAAACGGAATCCACAAGTCCAAACTCAATTCTTGAATTTTGAAAGTTACAACTTAATCATTGAATGACAAATGACGATATAAAACCAAGATTGCGGTGGCAAAAGTTTATATTTTTGTAATGTTTTATTTAAACGAAAAAATAGCTATTAAGTTTTAAAAGTTTTGTAGCGTTAATATTAATACATCCCTATGAATCTGTTAATTATAAATTAATCTATAATTCGTTGTAAAATGTCGAAGTGGATAGGTTACGCCGTGTCAGTAAACTGTGGCGAGCCCCTGGGATGTTACCAGGGCACTATACTGGAGGCCGACGGTAGCACCATCACCTTGACTAAAGCATTTAGGAATGGATTCCCCTACCCAAAGTCTCAAGTTACACTGAAGTAAGCAGTTTTAAAATTTACTAGATGATGTCTGCAGCTTGCCAGAGTCTAAAAGTAAACCGACTTTTGACTACTAAAAGTATGATGAGAACTGATTTATCAATTTGTTGCATTCTAGTTCAGCTGATATAAAGGACCTAAAAATAATTGAAGAAGCACGTTCAGAGCCATCAGAACATTTACATAGTACTGTAGCCGTCACTAAGAGTGCCAAGAAAGGTCAAAGAGCTACCGTGTGTGAAAATTTGGAAGCAAATCCCTCACATCCCAGTAAGTTGATTATATTAATTACAGATGGCTTTAAAACAAATTTGAGTAAATTATTAGGGAAAGATAGAAAGAAAGAAAGATATCTATTGAAAGATTGGGAAATGGTATTGCAGTTGATGGTTCACAATAAAACCTTGTGACTTGTTAGTCTAATCATAGATTTATAATAATTTTCTTACACTAACAACAATGTCAGGTTATGAGATCTAAGAATTTTGTTTTATTCATTTAATGTCAGGTTAAGAAAGTAATACCTGGTTACCAAGCTTTGCTCGGTATTTAGGAATTATTGGGTTTTTTTTTATTTTTAAGTGAACATGTTAAGAAGACCAAAACCATATAGGTAAGGGTGAATATACGCTATTTGGTTTTTTGTGTCCCAGAAGGAAATGTTATCGGTTCCATTCAATATTTATAATTTATTTATTTGACACTATTTTAAAATTAGTAATCCCAGGGGCTAGACGATTATTAATATTTTTTTTCAGTTTTATAAGCACCAAAGGGAAATGTGTTACCAGAAGAGTGACACTGTTGCCAGAGTAGTAACAAGTCAAAGCAGGGTATTTGTCATACCATTAATTATTACCTGAGAAAGTTGACTAATATTAAATGAAACGTCTATTTACTTCTATTTATTTATTTAAAAAAATTGTCACTCCTCTGGCTATCATGTATGTAATATGCCAGAGGAGTGATGCTAGAGGAGTGACAAAATTACACATAATGTATTAAAATTGACATCACGCGCTTTTCTTACTCCAGTTTAAGTTAATATATGATATCTATGGAAAATAAACATTGATTATAGAAATTAACAATTTGGTTACGATAAAATACAAATACATATGCTTACCAAAGGAAATACTCCAACAACTGGCACAAAATTACTTTCCGAAAGTTTATCAAAAACTGATCCAATTTTTTTTTAATTTTGCTCAATTTATTTAGCTTGCCTCTAATTTAAAACTGTTTTTCGCCCGTTCTTTAAGATCAAAAGCACAAAGTTGTGATTTTAAATGATTTTTTAAGTCTTTGAATTCCGCCAGATGAAGTGATAGTATTGTAACATGACTCGAAAATAAGTTATATTATTTTATATTAATAAATATTTTTACTCTTAATATTGTTAAAATATGTTTCGATGTTTATTAAAGCGTATGACCACATTAAATAAAAAACATGATTGTGTAGTTTTTGAAAGTATTCAGTCATAAGTTCATTTTAATTCATAAATGGGAAGGCCAGAGGAGTGTACATTTTAAAAAACATAATTAAAAATATAAATAAAATAATTATCGTGAATAGTCTTTGTGGGCCAGATAAAATGGCATATTCTTTATTGCTTAAGCATAGAGAGACAATGATATAATAAGTTTTACATAAAATTTGTCTATAGACCAATGGAATTCAAATAGCGTATATTCACCCATAAAGCAATAATTAATTTCTTTGTCTAACCTAAAAACAAACACTCATGGATTTCCTGCTACTTAACAACGCCATCTGCTGTTGTGTCGTTAAATCAATTAGTAAAAGCAATGAGCAAAAAGTAGTATTACTATTCGCCAATAGACGTCAGGAAGAGTCATATTTGAAACAACTCATTTTGTATTTTTTTTAATAAAATAACATTTTCTAAAAATAATTTCTCGCTAGATGGATTTATCGCCCCGAAATCCCCTACATACTAAATTTCATGAAAATCGTTGGAGCGGATTCCGAGATTACAATAAATATGTATTGCTCATTTAAATATATACGATATGGAATTTGAACGTAAAAAAATTTGTGTTTTATACATGTTACACTGATGCAATGTGTTCTGTTTATATAGCTTTTATTTCATGGATTTTATCATATAAAGATTTAAAAGGTAAATCTGAAAATAATTTTATATATACACTTATGTTGAAATAGATTCTCATGACGTCACAGAGAAACTTCTGATTTTGTATTGGTTCTGAAACTTGAAGTAGAGGATGGCACATTAAAGATTTGGATAACATTCCCGGGTTGTTAGTGGACAAACTTAATGATCTCCTAACTTAAGTCAACCTGAGATTAATTTTGTTATTGTATTTGTTTAATTTAGAAAGTGATCGAAAAGAAAAACATGCAGGCTCATACTGTGATAAATGATAATATAGTCAGATAATAATTAAATATGTATTCAATGCGACACTGTTATTATATTGATATATAAGATAGTGCAAAGACTGTCCATTTAACTTTGTCATGATTGTATGGTGTGTGCATAGACTCCTTCTCTCTCGTCCCTTCCTCGTATACGCAAAATTACTCCATGTTCTTCATAAGTTTACAAAAAGAAATAATAATGTTATTGATGGAACACAGCTGGATCACAGACCTGCAACAAGACGAGCGGCACCAGGAGCGCACCCTCGGCGGCGCCGCGGAGCAAACCTATAGACATACAGGGGCCGAGGGTTAATAGGAATACACATACAGGTGACACTGAGACACTCATAACACTAAGAACACATTTAAGATAAGCTCTTTGGTAAAGGAGCTCCCAAACAAATGATGATTGTTCTCTCAGGCAGCTACGGTAATGCGAGCTCGACTCCCAAGACGCGCGCTCAGCCCGGAGGGGAGCGGGCCAGGAGGAGGAACGAGGCGTGCTTCGGACACGACGCGGACCCCGCGCTGGGAGACGACTTCGACTTCGAGGGGAACCTCGCGCTCTTCGACAAACAGGTACGGACCAACCGAGTGACTGACTGACTGTCTGACGAGAGAGAAGGACGCTGACCGAACGAGTCCCGACAGGCGCTGTGGGAGGAGATGAGGAGCAGCGCCGCGACCAGGCCGGACGTGGTGCGGGCCGCGGACGAGGCGGCGCGCTACAGGCACGACGAGAACGTGCTGGGGAGCGCGCCGCCCGCCGACCACATCACCGTGCCCGCGGACCGGAGGGGGCCCGTGGTGTACGCCGCAGACGACGGGCGCAGGGTGCCCTCCGTCACCCTCGACCTGCGGAGAGACTTCTGGCTCGGGCTGCGGCGGCTCGGGCTGCTGGAGGGCGCGCAGGTGCTGCTGGCGCGCGCCGCCGCCGACCTGGCGCTGAGGCTGGCGGGCGGCGGGCGGCGCCTCGAGCCTCGCAACGCGCACCAGGCGCCCGTGGCCGCCGTGCTGGCCGGCCTGCACGACGGCGGAGTGTGCGGACTTGTGGCCGCGAGGATCTTGGCGGCGCACGGTGTCGCGGCGCACGCCTTCCTGTCGGGGGCCGCGCTCGACCCGCCCGGCGCGGCGCTGCGGCGTGAGCTGGGCGCGCTGGCGTCGGCCGGCGTGGCGCGAGTGGAGCGGCCGGACGATCTGCCGCCGGCCGACGTGGTTCTCCTGGCGTTGTCCTCGCCGGAGGAGCGTGAATCTCGAGAGCCTCACGAGTCGTACGAAGCGGCGCTGGTGTGGGCGAGGGCGGCGCGCTCGGCGTGCGTGGCGCTGGAGCCTCCCGCGGAGGGCTGGGCGGGCGTGTCGTGCCGCGCGTCCGTTGTGGCAGGCCTGCCGGCCGCCCTGTCCCCGTCCCTGGGCCGGGTGTACGCGGCCAACGTGGCGGCGCCGGCCCGTCTGTGGCGCGAGCTGGGCGTGTCCTACCGCCCGCCCTTCGGAGCCTCCTCGGTGCTGGCGCTGGACTGACGACCCTCTTCACCAGAGACGCATATTTTTGATAAAATTAATAAATATTTTCCTGAGCGTGATGTCTCTTTACTACTCCTCTCGTGTTCCGTCTCTCCATCAGTGACGTGCACACCATACATACAAATAAGCACTGCTTACCCTACCCATATAACTGAACCTACATTATTAAATTCTTAGTTAAGTACATACTTTCAATCATACATCGAACAATACGATTTATTACAGACATTTAATATGTCATTTAATTCACGATTCGGTAAAATAGTTACAAGTGCCATATATCAACGTAAAAAACTAACATGTTCTATTGACCGCTGCTAACGGCTAACGCCGCTTCCCAGCTAAGGCGACCGTAAGGAAAATGACTCGGTGCATACATGTATATATTCTATACAAATGATCTCAAAGACGAGCTTCAAATCTCGTGTAGTATGTAGGAAACCTTTGTATGTGAGTTTGTGTGCAGAATAGGCATATGTATTGTTCTAGTGTCACTTCCTTTATCCTACTCGTTTAAAATGTCATAGAAATTGAGTCGATTATGAAATGAAGAGTGACTATGTAATTTGTCGGTATATTGTTTATTTTTATTCGCCATTTTGTTATTATTGTCATATCTTATCTTAAATTTAAGTGAATAAGTTTTATTAAGGAGTTAACCCTTATTCAAATATTGGGAAATTATTTCCCACTTGACAGTACCGTAATATTTCTTTATTATTTCTTTACTGGTATCTCTAATTTTGGAGAAAATTGCGGAATGTCATCGTATGTCAATGTCAAAGTCACAATTTGAATTTTTTGGTGCACAAAACCGGTTCTCGCAGGACTTTCGAAAATTTTTGTAGAAAAAAAATCTGGTAAGTACATAAACAATATATTGATGTAAACTAGACTTATTTTCTGAATGCTTTTTACGGTTTCTGTGCTTTTTGCACTGATATTTCTTGGATTTTATTAGGTTTAATTAGGTGGGAAATAATTTCCCAATGTTCGTTCCTGCTTTGATAAACATCAGTGTCTTTATATATATATATAAAATTTATTTGTCAGCTGTAATAATAACGGTATAGGAACTTGTAATACGATAGCGAGTAAGTCAAATTAGTGGCTTTTTGCAAAATTGTGACTGCGTTTATGTGATTTCTATGCTTTATACCAAACGAAGCCACTTATAAGTTTTAGGATTTTTGTAACTATTTGTGTAATATGCTGATAAAACTACATAATTGCCAACTTTTTATAATTTACTTTCAGCTATTCAAATATGGACGCAAGAAAGGAACGAAAAGTGCTCGCCAAGAAACACAAAGCACAAAGAACAGAGGACAAAAATAGTATGTTCCTCCTGTGGAGTAGCTCTTTGTGCCAAAAACTGTTTCAAAACCTTTCACACAGTTCTTACTCAGTAATGTTATTTTCATATAGTATTTGAAAAGTTCTTAATAAAATATTATTTGTAACATTCTAGTTTCATTTTATTTTTATAATTTTATTCAATCACTCAATCATGTTATATTGAATTTTTTATATAAAAAAAATAAACAAGTAAAGTAGGAGTAAGTAATATGTATAGAATTTGTAGTAAAAATGTCCCAAAAAAATGTAACCATTCCGGATGATGGGAAATAATTTCCCACTTACTTATATTTTGCTTTTCCATACTGGATAATGGGAAATAATTTCCCACCGTAAAACCCCCATTTCCCCTCTTTTTATAAAAAAATGATGTTTTTTTCGAAATCTACAAAGCCCTTTTACCTAGAAACCATGTTTAATTCATAATTTTATTTAAAAAAAAAATCCATTTGATTAAGGGTTAAGTAATTAGTGATTTAATTTACTAACAAATTATGTAAAATTACATCTGTGAGCTCTGTACTGGTGTTGTGTGTTTATAGAAATAAGTTACGAGTACATTTTCAATGCTGTCGTTTGATAATGAAATTAAACTAATTACAAAGGGAAGGTGTGTGTCCAGTTTACATTTAGCCAAAAAAGAAGGTAATGTTTTTCGTTGTTTTATTAAAAAATATTATGTATAGTTATAATTGGCTAGCAGGTATTGTACACACAGATAAGTTATTTTAAACGGTTTTATTTAGCTCACCCCGTTTTTTTTATTATTTATTCTTAAGTTAAATTTAGTAATTCAAATTTCACCCTCTTCCTGTCAACCGATTAATCTGAAATTTTGTAAACACTTTAGATTTTGGTGACAATACAGTTATGTTTATTCATTTTCATTATAAATTTAAGATGGCCGCCGTTACAAAATGGCGGACAATTTATGTTTTATTAATCCCATCAATATGGGTATCAAATGTAAGTGCTCAACCAGTAAAATACAATGTACTATATAAAATTAAAATCCAAGATGGCGGCCTCTACAAAATGGTGGATAACTTAGGTTTTATCAATTCCAAATATAATCGTAATATATTGAAAATTGGTATATAAGGTAAATTAGTATATAAGGAAAATTTGATATATAAGAACATTTGGTATATAAGGACATTTGGTATTTAAGGAAAATTAATATATAAGGAAAATAAGTATACAGGGTGTATGAAAAACTGTGTCAACCCTTGAAGGCATGTATACATATAAGTATAAGCTTGTTATAAAAAATAGTATAACTTAAAAAATATCAAGCAGAGGTCAGTTACAGTGCATAGGCTAAATAAGTTTTAAATCGACATTATTCGAAAAAATGTTCCAAACATCTAACTCATACAAGGTCAAGACACCGTATAGTCGCAACGACGCATGCGTGACCATTGACCGCAGGCGACGAGCCGCCGGCGTTATTATTACTATTCTGTTAGTTGTTCGAATAGAGATTTGAAAGTGTAAAAATTAGTTATATCGATAAATATTCCATCGACATTTTCAATATTGCTATAAATAGTTATGCTTTTCACATTAAAATAATTTCATTTAAAATAACTTTTATTAATAATTAATAAATATTATAATTTGAAACTTGTTCAGGTAAATGAACTGCATATGTTGTATTATTAGGATAAATCGTTAATCTATTTCTGTTAAAAATGGTGTTTTACAATTAAACATAATATTAATGTTTGATATATCAAAATAAGTATCGAAATAATATGAATATTAAATATTTATTTGTTGTTATGATTTTTTAAATATCGATATTTTCAATAATGTGAAAGTAGAAATTACGAATTTTCCTTACATTTGATATGTAAATGTAAATAAGGAATTTCTTAGTCTAACGTCAAAACAAACACTCAATGACTTCCTGTTACTTAGCAACGCCATCTGCTGTTGTGTCGCTAAATTATTAAAAGCAATTAGCAAAATGTAGTATTACTATCCGCCAATAGGTGTCAGGAAGAGTCATATTTTAAAGGACTCCTTTTTGTATTTATTTTTAATAAAATAACATTTTCTAAAAATGATTGCTAGCTAGATCGATTTATCGCCCACAAAATCCCCTACATACTGAATTTCATGAAAATCAGTGGAGCGGATTCCGAGATTCCAATAAATATGTATATTTATACAAGAATTGCTCGTTTAAATATATAAGATAAATGGTTTCAGAGACATTGAAAGGCACAACGCGAAATTTGATAGGAGTTTTGATAGTGTGGTCCTTCCACACACCACTAGCGGAACAAGTTACCTGAATCGGAACAATCACCTTGCTCGAATAGTACACATAAATAACAGTTCATTGAAGTTAGTTCAAATCATTTGTGAGGCAGGTTGGATAGTAATGGTAACACGGAGAATGAAAATAAGGAATATGAAGAGGGAGGTGTATCGATAGTCTAATATTGAGTTCAACAATAAAAGCGAAAATTATTTATTCCATTGATTTATTTCCAAAAAAATATACAGTGGGTCTCAAAAAGCACAACACGTCGACAACATACATTAATAGTATATTAGTAATGGAACCTTGAACCTCACGCACACACTCTCACACACACACACACACACACACACACACGTACAATTAGAAAACGTACAAATATATATAATGTACACACTGTATTTAGAGCTCTTCTAAGTATAAGCTTTAAAAGTAGTCCACATATTGTATCCAGTACGGTGGACGAGTGACGGGTCGGGGCTGAGAGACTTACGTCTGTTATATACAGAGGAAGGGGGGGGGGGGCAATAAATAATAACAATTATAAATACATTTGATATATTATACACCCGCGAGCCGCACCGGCGAACACATTCAGTCGATCGACTTCGCGCAGGGACCAGCGAGCAGCGGGCGCGGGAGAGGGTCGTGTGCGACGACGACTACAATAATATAAAAGGTGACGATGAATACTTAGCGGCAGTCTTTGGTCGGGTGAAGTGGTGCGACGACCTCTGGGTCAGTTCATATTTACATCTAGTCTAATTAAAGATAACATTCATATCGCCTAAAAATATTCAAAAGTTTTATACGAAAATAAGAGGTCTGTTTGTAAAGCTCCAGATCGGTAAAAAGACAGAAACTATGAGAAATGACGGAAGAATACGTCTGATACTGAACGGACGAGGTGTTACTGATGCGGCGAGGGAGACACAATAACACATGGAAACATTCCTGAGAAGGAATTCAACAACCATTTCATAGAAATAATTAACTAGGAATTTGTTTAAAGACTTTATAAAATATTAATGTTTTTTTAAAAAGTTCTATCAGTAGACACGAGCTCCACTAACACAAACACACACATACACGCATAAAAACACATACAGACACACAAGCGCACGACACCTATACGTTACACCTTACCTTAATTGTTAAATATGATGAACAAGTTTGTTGATTGCGATCTTAACAAAATACACGTCACGAGAAATATACACTCGGCCGGCCTCACGGACCGGCGAGGAAGATATGTTGTGTTCCGGACTGAGAGGCCGGGGCCGGACTCCTGGACCCCTCGCCTTACTCGACTATACTTGTGCGCAGAACCCTTCGATCGCTATCACTGGCAATCGGAGCTATTTCCTAAATTGCTATTTATAAATAATACCCTTGTAAACGCTTAAAAAACTCTATCCATGAAGTAGCCAGAAAGTAGAAGAGTACGAAACATCCACCGAGAGGGAGCGGGAGGGGAGGGGCGGCGGCCAGCTTAGAGCTCCTTGTCCTTGGTGAGGTCGGGCGGCGCGCGCTCCTTGCCGTTGTGTAGCGGCGCGGGGGTGGAGGGCCCGGCGGCGGGCGCGGGGGGGTCCAGCAGGCGCTCCGCGGCCGGCGGACACGTGCGGCGGATGAGCGCGTGCGTGTGGTCGCGGAGCTTCATCAGCTCCTCCTGGATGCGCTCCGTGATGACGCGCCGGGTCTCCTCCTCGGACGCGTTCGCGCTGCGGAGCCTGAAACATACCACACGTCAATCTATAGAGGACGACCATCGGTGACGAGTGATAGACGGAGGAGACGCACTTGGTCTATACGTTGACGAAAATCTCAGATTTATAGAACACTAGCTTTTGCTTATTAGGTACCATAAAAACGATTTTTGAGAGTTAATCTTAAATGATAGACATATACTGTCCTGGACTGTTTTTTAGATCATTAAGAGCTATTATTCTTTAATACATATTTTTTGTATATCTTGAACCGTTTTCACGGCGCACGCAACGGAAGGCTTCAAAGATGAAATAATTTCTCCCGTTTTTTACACATTTACCACTATATCTTTACTCCTATTGGTCGTAGCGTGATGTTATATAGCCTACAGCCTTCCTCGATAACTGGACTATCCAACACAAAAAGAATTATTCAATTCGAACCAGTCGTTTCGGAGATTAGCGCTTTCAAACAAACAAACAAACAAACTCTTCAGCTTTATAATATTAGTATAGATCTAAATCTGAAAATAAAAAATGCTTTTTATAAATTAAAAGTTCTATATAGCTTGAGACCTATCATGTCTGAGAAAGTGAGAGTTACCCTGATTGAGTCACCTATTTTATCGATTTTTAATTACTGTGACACAGTGTATGGTCCCAGATTATTGTAAAAGACCGAAAAAGCTATACAAAGAGTACAAAATGCTTGCACTAGGTTTCGTTTTGACGTTCCTTCTTAGGAAAGGAGATATAGGTCACATATATCTCCTTTCATTAATTGTCACAATATTTTAAACATGAAATCACGTAGGAACCTTCATCTAGCAGTATCTTTACATAAAATTGCACGCAGCAAAAAACCAAATTACTTATATCAAAAGCTTGACTGGCTAGAGAATAGAACAGACAGGAGCGTCCGAGAAACTGAGAAGCTTAAACTATTAATACTTAAACATAAAACAGCAGGATTCAAATATGCTGCAGCACCTGCTTTCAAATATGCTGCAGCATATTTGAAAGCAGGTGCTTTCAAATATGCTGCAGCAAAAATTTGGAATAACCTACCACCTCCCCTACGTGATTGTAATTTTTCAATTGTAACTTTAAAAAATACCTTAAAGAATATTACCTACGTCTACAAGTAGAAGCAGCTACATAGGAAAAGAAAAAAACTTTATAAATGAATGCGAATGAAGCAAAACATGAAAGAATAGAATCCTAAAAACGTAGAAGACTCTTTATTTTTATTTAATCATAGTTTCAATTGTCCTAGTCATGATGTACACATAAGAGTTATGGTTGTTATGATGCGAAGATGTGCGTGCGTGTATTAAGTTTTTGTCGTTCTTTTAATGTTTAGTTTTAAAATGTAGTTATAAACTGGAGAAATTGTTTATTTACTTTTTTTTGTGTTCTATAATCATTTCACCGGTATCTTTTTTACTTGCTTTTATATCAGTTTTTTTTGTATCACTTTAATATGTTACGGAACGGTGCGGCGCTATTAACTAAGTCAACATAATGTAGAAGGAGCAAGCTGAAAATCAGCGCTGGGCATAGCACAGCACATTACTGAGCTTGTAACCAATTGCGATACGGTCGTCAATGAAAACGAGTGGTAAATTAAGAAAAAAAAATCCAGTATGAATAATTTGTATCTCATAAAAATATGTATGTTTTTATTAAGAGTTACTTTTTTAGTGTACGACCTATCTGAAGCAATAAAGTTTTATTATTATTATTATTATTACTTGTCGAGGAGCGGGCTGAGAGGCAGCGGCTCCCCCACGGCCAGGTACAGGTGGTTCCGGAAGCGCAGGCGGTAGGGCTCCACGTTGGGCAGCACGCGGTCCATGCCCTCGTGCCACACGGGCAGCACCAGCGGCGCGCGCCCCGCCGCCGCGCTGTCCATCACCAGCCGGCCCACTCCCCACTTGAACCGGATGCGCTGCTTGTCCACGTTGACGCGCCCCTCCGGGAAGATGTGCACCCACTCCCCGCCGCACAGACGGTCCACACAGAAGTCCATCGCCGTCTGGGAACACGACACACGGAGGCGTCACTCACGGAGCTCAGGTCGGCGCGGGTGGGAGGTGTGTACTCACCTGGTACACTCCGGCCCCTCTCACCACGGGTACACACTTGCCGAGCGCGAAGAAGGCGGAGTGGAGCGCGTTCGTGAAGCAGATGTCGTGAGCGGCCAGCGACCAGCGCATGCGGGAGTAGCGTGTCAGGGTGCCGACGTCCAGGACTCCTGGATACAAACACACATACATATATGTAGGGTATGTATAATGTATAACAGTGGGAGTCTTGTGAGCTGCTCTGAAACGTCCACTAATCATTGTATATATGTATGTTTGTGTTAGCAACAAGTGCAGTACAGTACTTAGTGTTATGTGTTGTTACGTAGTGGGTTTCGTCAAATGTAATAATTCAGTGGAGGATAGTCTGCTTCAATAAGTATATTATGTTATCTTCAACTGCTACGGTCAGTCCCTACTCCAACTCCCTACTCGTAGCTTTCTCTGTGTGATCGTTCCTCTCACTCGATCACTCGGTGTCTCAAACTCAAATAACTTTATTCAATGTAGAAGCATTACACTTTCTTATTGTTGGTCACTTGAGACACTACCACCGGTTCGGAAAACAAAATACCCTGACCTTAGAAGAAACGGGGAAAGAAACTCAGTCTTCTCTGTAGGTCGTTTCCAGTCCCGGTCCCTAGTCCAGAGGTCGGTGTATGTCAGATGTTTTATTTATCATATCAACATATTATATTGTGATAACCGATAACAGCATGAACGATCCCACATTCCGTGACATATTAAACCACTACATTGTGAGTCGTTAATGTATAACGTAACATGTTGTTTACGACGGGTGTTCTACGTCAATAACATTTGCCTCCGGGAAGTAAACAGAATGTCGTCACACGAGAGACGCAGGCGTCGCCCTCGCCGCACACGTGTATAATGTGTGTGTGTGTGAGTGAATGAATACTACTATACTGAACTATATACCATATATATTGATATGAATGTAAGACGAAAACGTTCAAGGTGAAGTGTTATGTAGTGTAGTAACTCCGACCTCCACATTGGAAGGTCATGTCTAGAACTAACGACAATCAGTTACGTTATCTCTCATTTATTTTAATATGACATCAAGTACGTTCATATTATATGGTCCGCGCTGTCTTCTTGACCCATTTCCTATTTTTAAAGATGTCCTCGAGATTGTCACACTGACAGATAAGAATGCGCACAGACACACATACACAATATAGATGGACGAATTAATCCGTTTGTTTCGACACATTCAGACGTTCAACAAGGGAACACAGATCAGATCAGAATATTATGTGAACAGAGGTAGGACTGTGGTTGCGGACTGAGTCAGTGAAGTTATACACGACAATACATGCATGACAGTGTTGGAATGACAGCTGAAAGACGTCTGTATGAATGAGGAGCTGTCGACATGTGTGTGTGTGTGGCCGCTCTCACCCCAGAGACCGGGATCGTCGAAGCAGGAGTGGTGGTTGGAGACAGTGAGGAGGGGCACGTCCCGCGGCCGACGGACGGCTCGCTGGAGCGCCTCCCGGTTGTACACCGTCGTCTTGTTCAGGAAATCTGAAGACATACAGAACATACAGACAGTCACTCACACGGCTCCTCTCAATTACCAAGGAAACCGATACAGTAGTAATGTAGTTTTTTACAAATCATGTAGTCCGTTTTCACACATGACACAGGTGTTGGTGTAGAATATGAATCAATAGAGTTCTTTTCTGTTGGTTTGAGATCCGTCAGTGAAAGGAACCAATAGAACCAACAGATTAAGAGTTCTCAAAGAGTGAATAGTTTTTCAAATGAAGTAGTAACATTATTTAAATATATTTTTTCTGACTAGATCAATGTTATTATGTTTGACGGACCAGTGTTCATGGAGTCCTCTCACATCACCTCACACTCATCATGGTATACAACTAAGATATTATTATATTATTCTGCTAAATTGAAGTTTGTTTGTTTATTAAGTTGTAAATAAAGCTGAAAATTTTATCATTTATAATTCTAAAATTAAATCTTTTTTAACAAAATAATCTCTAAATAAATAAATAATAAATAAATGAATCAAGAACTCGGCCTGTGTTTTCATTTCAAACTACTACTGGTCTAATTTCTCTTCATGTAATGTTAACTGAAGATGTATACATATCTCACAGATGTGTTTTGTTTCATCCCAGACACAGTTATCATAATATTTTTTTTAAACAGAAGTGACATTTGTCTCAATGTTGTTATTAAAGTTGTGATGTGTCTTAATTCAATCAGATAAATGCAAGAAAATATTAAATGTATCACATACACACACACACACACATACACACACCATCAGGACCTACACAGCTCTATATCTATTGCACTTTGAACTCACAAAATATATTCTTAGGTTAAAGAGATTCAACTATGAAAATAAGATTAAATACTTGTTAATAATATGAACCTGACTATTATAATATACAGACATGTTCAGGAAATGTATTGTGAATTTATAAAATTATAACATAACGGTATAAAATATATTAAAATGACTGTTACTGTAAGACTGCTTAATGACTTGGTTATATGTAAATATATGTATGATACAAATTACATTACAAATGTTTAAATCAAAGGTCATCATTAACAATAACTTGGATGTCATTATGTACATCCAGAACACAATGCACTGATTCACTTACATACTTTGTGTGCTTCAAACAACTGTCACTTGATAAGAATGTATGAAAAAAATAACAACAGATACAGATCAGGATTAAAGACAAAGAACTCAGACTTGGTAGAAGTTCTGATAAAAAAAAACAAAGATAAGGACTTATAAAATGTATTAAAAAACGTAAATATGCTGTTTTTTTGGTTATATATTGTACTTAAAAATTAGAAGAAAAAAGATTCTTAAATTAAAATATTCAGAAAGTACAAGCTATGAGGTGAGTTTGAATATAAGAAACACAGCTAGACTGGTTTACCAAGTGTGAGTTTACAATCGATATGCATTGTAAGCAGCTAGAACAGAACTCGCTGATGCAAAGTAAAGTTCATTCCTTTGATTTTTTTCTTCGTAAAATTTCTAATAGTGTATGTGTCCAATACGAGTGTACGTTTTATGAAGGTAGTTAGTAGCACGGGGACCATGAACCCACCTACTATGATCTTGCTGAACAGACCGACCACAGCCACGGTGATGGAGCTGGCGCAGTTCCACAACACGCCGGGGCTCCGCAGCCGTGGGATGATCCACCCGATATCGTACGCCATATTAGGTCGAACGATTAGTTTATAAACACTACAATAACATGATTTTATCTGATTACTTCAATTATAAAATATAATCACGTCCGATCTACGCCCATTCACTTCCAACCTCACTCATCAGAGCTGATCCTAACAATGACACTGACGTCTCGCTCACCCACTGACACTTGATAACTCGTGACAACACTGGAGTTAAGACAGCTGTGATAATGTTAACGTTCCTATTACAAGCAGTTTGTACTCCTGAACCTATTGAAACAATTGAAAGTTTTAAATCCTCTAGTTAATAATTTAAGCTTTTAATTATGCTTATATCATATAAAAAGAGTTTTATTAAAGGTGTTTTAAGAGTAATTGAGAATATTGTTATAAAATAATCTACATTTTTTTTCTTGAACATAATATGTGCAAATAAGTAAAATAAAAGTATTTGTTTATCTTTATAACTTGAAAGAATTTATCTTTTGCTTAAATATTGCTAAGTTTTTACTTTTTACATTACAAATATTGAAGTACTGCAAGAACTTAAGGACCACTTAATAATAGAATATGAAATACTTATTTAGAAATCAATCGTAAGCAACACCTGTAAATTCAAATATAGCTGAAATAAGAATTTTTTGAGGTGTAAGAGGCTGTGGTTAAGTTACTGCTACATGGGCTGGCTTGACCGGGGAAGTACCACCCTCTCACCGAAGATCGGCGTGAAGTAGTCTTTCATGGCTGCGTTTCGTCCGATGAATGAAAGCGGGTTACCCTTTCCCTTTTCACACTCTTTCCAGCACCTTCCCTTTTCTCACCCTTTCCCAGTTTTTCCTCCTCATCTTGCCCAATCAAGCAACACATCAGCAAAACAATTAATGTAGTGGATGTTCCTGGGTGACGATACTACCTTCAACGGGCAGGGCATCTACTCGGTTGGCTCCTTTAGCATAAAAAAGACGATATTTACGAAAGTAACTTCGTGGGTAAAACATTCGTTACATAATATGTGAATGAGAAAATATATTGAAATTTTAGGTGTTTTATATATATATTTTTTTAAATATTATTCATAGGTTAAGGAGAGAATATAGGCCAGTGCAGAAGCCTTTAAAATCAATGAAAAATGAAAATAAATTATAGTAGAATGAAACTCATTAGAACTGTAATTTATTTGATTAGAAATATTTATTTTTTCAGCTTATTTTGAATAAATATCGAAAAATCAGCCTCATTTTCAATCGAAAAGTCACCCGTCAAAATATCAGCGTTTAACAAAAATTTTGTGTGTTTTCTGTTCGTTAAAATCTCTATTTTCCGATAGTGAAGAAAAAAATATAAGTTTCTTACTTGCAGTACCTTTTTGGGATAAAATTATCATGTCCCTTTTAATGAAATGACCCTCGATACCGTTTGGAAAATGCTATTTCAATTTATTTTTAATAGTTTTAGCAGCTTAATGTAAATTTTCTGTAAATTACCTAAAAGAGGGACTATCTGGAGAACTTTCAGAGTACACAACTATTAAAAATAAATTAGAAAGAGCATTTTCAAAACGATTTCGAGTGTCATTTCATTGAAAGAGAGATGATAATTTTATCCAAAAATAGTACTTTAAGTAAGAAATTTATATCTTTTTTCTTCATCATCGGAAAATAGAGATTTCAACAAATAGAAAACATACCAAATTTTTGAAAATAGCGGATATTTTGACGGGTGATTTTTCGATTGAAAATGAGGTTGATTTTTCGGTATTCATTCAAAATAAGCTGAAAAAATAAATATTTTTAATCAAATAAATTGCAGTGCATTTGTAACATCAAAAGGAAAGTTTTCACCAAATTTCGTGAATAGAAATTGTTTTTTGGAAGTGATAAAAATAAAAAACCAAAAACTTGGTTTTTAGAATTTTTCACTTAAACTTTGAGGTCATGTGAAAAAATGTTAGAACAAAAGTTTTAGATATTTTTATTACCTACAACTTTGCCATATAACTTTTTTCCGTAGAACTTTTAGTTTGGTCGCAAATCGAGAAAACCCATTTTTTACCCTTAAATAATCACCCCCATACTGACCTCAGATCGCCCGTAAATTATTTTTCCTTTAATTTTTATAATATTCCCCTCCCTTTCTAATGAGTTTCATTCTACTATAATTTAATTATGTTTAAAAGCTATCAGCACTGGTCTAATAAGTAAAGACAGTTTATATAGAGAAATATATTTATCGATATAATTTACTACTTAATTAATACTTTATAGGAACAATATATGTTACAAGACGAATTATTGTGTTTCTATCAATTTTTCTATAATCAGTGCCTGATGTCCTCGTTCTCCTCTGTCAGTGTGGTGACAGGATGGTGATCCAACGGACCCGCGGGCTCTCTGTTCCTGATACAGAATAGTTCGCCGCTAGCTTCTAGCGAGCGTCGTTGCTTCTAATCAGGTCAAATTCATATTCCACCGTTGGTCTGAAGGCGGGCAGCCCGGCACCTCTCTGCTCCGTGGGGATCAGTTTGTGAAGAACTCGATGTCTGAGTGGACGTATCTTCCGAAACTCACTTTCGGCTGAAAGTCGTTCCTTGGAGTAGTTCTCAGGTGTCCGTAAATCGTGAATGATATTCGAGTGTCCGTGTGGGGCGCAGTCCGCGGCGCTAGTAGCCAGAGCCACCACTGCCAGTAATGCGAGGAAGATGCTCATCTTTTGGAGTTCGATGATACACTGGTTTATCCACTGATTACAAGCCACATTTATGAGGGCTGTGATACAGTCGGCCACACAAGTCACTACAATAATAAAGTAAAACAAACTCGTGGAAAGAAACGTACGTCTTATGAAAGTCAGTTTGACGAAACTATTAATGACATTATGACGTTTATTATTATTTTTAAACCGTTCGTATCAGTCGGTTCCAGTGATACTCTTATACGGAATGCGTCACTTTGTTTTTGTCAAGTAGTTTATAGATTTATATTTAGTCAAACGTTATATGACAGACACTGAGATAAACAATAAAAGGAATCAGTTGACTGTGGGAAGTACGGTTGTAGAAAAACATCAATATTCGGGGGATTCCAACGTAGAACAACTGTGGAAAATGTTTTTTAATAAATACGATGGATGATGTTATCATTTTCATCAGTGTAATTAAATCTCGTCAATAGCATTTAACCAAATAACAACCAAAAATTAAAAGTGTTTCCTGATTAATTATTTGTGAGGACAATACATAATATAAAATACAATAATATAATAGTATTACGAGCGGCAGTGTACCAACCTCATGGAATTAGTTCAATGGGAAAGTCCACGCAGTTCGGCTGACGGTCACATAGCGGCGTCGTCCGCAGAATACACGTATTGTATGAATATCGACACATATGAATACTTACCACAAGTTTACGTAGTCACAATATATACATATAATATATTCCCGTTTCTCACTTTATATACTACGTTAATCGACAAAGGAGATTAGTGAATGAAAAATGTTTAACGCTACGTATGTAGTGTGAGGAAGCAAACTCGGAGTAAGTACAGGGAGCTCGTGTGCTCTTGAAACTCGTGAGGACTGATAACGAACACACTACAGACAGCTAGCCGACGATCGACTCGCCGTAATAATATGTCTGAGGTATTCAAATTTATGGGAAAGGGTAGTGTGTGAGTTTGTGTCGAATTATTTTAAAAGACTCAGTTTCCCAAGCAAAATGTCTTATATAAAAGTTAAGCAACATATCAGTGTTAATAATTAAACATAGAGAAATAATACTGTCCAAGGGTTATTAGAAAAAATATGTAGTTTTTTTCACAATATGACATGACTGTAGTTTCAGGAGACTAGTGATGACTCGACCCGGTGAAAACAGAAGTTGAGAGAAAATTAGAATTTAGACATTTTGGTATCTGTTTGAGACAAAGTCTTAACGTTTTAAGATGAGATATACTTATACTCTCCAACGAATTTATATCAATATTGGTATACCAGTTCACTGTAGATAATAATGACCTTATGTAGGATTAGGACTGACCTCTTTTAATTATATATATATTGATCACAATAAACAAATACCAGCTATGAACCTCAAGGTTTAGTTTCAATGTATCTGTTACGTACGGTCTGTTCGACTGTAAAAGATAATCCAATAAATAATAAACAAAAGGAGGTTTAAATATTATTTGGATGTTTCGCTTTCTGTTGAAAAAGCTTTCCCTCGCAAGTTTGTTTTAAAAGTTGAGCATTTGATGAGATTTAATGAAATAAAATGAAAGAATCTTTTTTGTGCCGGGGAAATAAGTATTGAATTATATTGAACTTATATTGAACTCAAAGGGCCGATCTCAATAAATAATTATTAACAAATCATTAAACAAACAAGTTGGTCATTGACATAAGAAATTATTAACGACAGAGTTCCGCACTTGTTAGGTATACCTTTATTAAATTTTATTTTTTAACAGTTTCATTACTACAACTTACAAGTTTACGTTTTTGATGACCAGTTCTTTGTTACTGAACAATAACTAGTGTCCCAGGTGATGCTGACGAAATACAGGAGCAGCCGCGGCCCGGGACTTGTATTGATAACAACAACAGTCGCGACTCACAACGAACTGTTCATTCAATGATGTAATATTATGTTTAATAGGATTTATTGCATTTTACATAGTTTCAGAATATTATTAATATTTTAGAAAATTAAAGAGAAATCATTAATTTTGCAGAACTTTAATGTTCGATCTATATTGGAGTACTTCGAGTAATAATATTTTTATTCAACTGTTTTGCAATATTCATTAATAATAAGCGATAACAATTAAATTAAGAAATCTTTTTGGCAGAATTAAAGATTATTATTTTATATGGAAATTTATATGAATCGGTTATTAACCCAATGTTAACACAGACTCCGTGGCGCAACGGTAGCGCGTCTGACTCCAGATCAGAAGGTTGCGTGTTCAAATCACGTCGGGGTCAAATATACTATTGAAGTTCTTTATTTTGTCATTTTATTTTACTATATTTATTGTTTTAGTTTTGTAGCCAAAAATAGTTTGTTATCAAATTAATAAGTTAAACAGACTGAAATAAAAAAATTTAAAAGGGACAAAATACTTGGAGATGCCGGGGATCGAACCCGGGGCCTTTCACATGCAAAGCGAACGCTCTACCACTGAGCTACATCCCCTGCGATAGTTTAATTGAAATAAAACAGTTTACATCAAAAAGTACTTTCTAAATTAAATCGAGCTGTTCATTTACTTTTATTGTAGTACAAACCACATCCAATGTAAGGTTAACAAACATTGGAATGTAATGAGTTACATACCAGCTACATGGAAATAGTTTCAATGTTGTTGTTATACATGCTTGTAATGTACTGTGTGAACTATCAACTATGTAATCATTATATTGCTAAAACGTCGCAATCTAACGTATAGTTACGAACACCGAGCAAATGCGTCGTTATTAAGTAAGAGAAACAGAAATGAAAAATAATTAAACAGCAGAGGTGTGTTGAGAAAATATCATATAACACTAGGTGTGTACCAGCTGTATAACCCAGAAGACTGTATGGATGTGCTCATAATATGGTTAAATATAAATAGTTGGGATCTATAATTTCATATTTTGCGTATACACACTGGTAAGGTTCCAGCAGACGCCGCTCACTGTAACGACTGACAGCCTCCGAGGACTGAACTGACTGTTAAATGATGAAGGTAACACTTGCTTTGATACATAAAAGGCGGTTTATTATTGTACAGGCGATACATGTGGAAATAACAAGTGGTCATTTGTTAGTCAAATTATTGTTGATATTTCTGTTTTATAGCCATATATGTCATAATCGTCTCGTAAATTTTCCCTGTTTGTTGCCGTATAAATAACGAGGGTTCTTAGATTTGTTCGTAATCAGAAAAACCCAAGCGGAGGAAAATAATTTGATAAACAAATTCCAGGTACGACGAGAGCTTAGGAACTTACCATTCGTTACACACTTGGTGTCGAGTACATCGTGCATACATACATACATACATCGTACATACATACATACATCATACATACTTATCTTCAATGTATTTAATTGATCGAACACCTGAATGGACTTGCATGATACAAAAGACAATCTATAATTATATTATTATGGTAAAAGATTCCAGCGCGAGGTCTGTTATAGCGATGAAGGAGACGAGTGTGACTCGTTACGGTGACTGGCTCCTTGGGAATTTATAACAAGATCATTATAAAACTAATCAGACGGCTTCTGTGTGCTTATTGTATATGATAATAATATTTTAATTGGAGGAATTTGTATTGAACGAAGACTATGGACATTTACAACATAAGGAGGAGGAGGAGAGGGAATCAAATCAAGACATGGACTCTCATAATATATTAGGAGTCAGGTTATAATATCCGAATGGTCTCTACAGTCTACATGTATCAGTGCTCCGTGTGTGGTGTCGTCCTGCGTGAGCTGAGTCAGTTGGCCTCCGACTCCATAACGAATTCGGCCATCAGCAGTTCCATGGTGGGCGCGATGCCGTGCTTCTTGCACGAGCTCTTGAAGCATTCCGCCACCCGGAGGATCCTCCAGCAGTGGTCCTCCTCTGAGTCGTGTTGTTGTTCACACTCGTGGATCAGAGTCACCATCTGCTGCGACAGAACCTCACCTGGGGAAGACACACCCTTAGACATGACTCACTTACTTGGGGACTTGGAATAATTACAATGTTTTGATATACGTAATGTATACTCAGTCATTTAATGATATTAGTAAGCGAACTTAATTTTTAAATCAATGATTATAACAAAAATCATCCAATAACTTAGGTCACATATAAGGTTCGGTCTGGTCTATATATATATAATAGTGACTGTCTGTGTAACAAGTAACAAGAGGTTACCGTTAGGGAAGGACTTGATGAAGTTGTCCATGTTGTTGTGATGCATCCTGTGGGAGTCGGTGAGCAGGTCGAAATGTGAGCTCATACACTTGATGGCGCAGCCGACCGCGCGGTCGTCGAACTTGAAGTCATCTCTCCAGAAGTGGAAGAACTCTTCCATCTTCTCCTCCGTCAGCTGACTCTGATGGACGGACGGTCGGTGAGAAACATTCAAGGATTAAACTTATTAGGGGATATTCAATAATTGTTTGAAAACATTTACTTCTTCCCGACAAAGTTTCAGCGCCTCTCCGAACCCGAGAGTGACGTCCTTCATGACGTCCACGTTCGCCTTCAGCTGGACCACCAGCTGGACCAGCAGCAGCAGCAGCAGACGACGACCACGAACAGATGTCATGATAAAATGATCTCGACCACGACGCTGTACAGGCCTATATACATAGTAATATATGTAATTGATGGGTTTCTTCGACAATATAATGGATGTCAAACAGTGGGCGGGAAGGTTGTTAGGAGATAAATACTCACCAATTATTAGATGATCATCGAATAATATAGTATTGTGGCAAATGACACAGGACCCTTGAAACGAGCGACAGTTAAATACACAAAGGTGGACCGGCCCATTAAACGACTGTTTAGATGAGTGTGACATTATACGAGAAAACAATTAAATTAAGTTTATAAGAATTAGATGTATTTAAAGTTAAGATACAGAATTTTTTATAAATTATTAGGTAAAATATAAAACTCTACAAATCAGAGTCGGTCAATTTAAAAACTTACAACATCTCCACCGGAGAGTAGCTATGTGTTATCGTGTTGTTTGTTCCGTCCGTCTGTTCGTTTGTCTTTATGTTCATTTTTTAATTTCCTCACCACATCTCAGGCCCCGCCGTAACCGTCCATATTTAATGCTTCACGGAACACACTCGTAATAACAGACGCGTCAGAACACTTCCTCGGCACGGGGCACCTCTCAATAAATAATAATCTATTAGTTTTATAACGTCTTATTATAAACTAGCCTCCAGCATAAACCTGCATTTGTTAAATTGAAACTTTGACACTTTTGTTGGTGTTAGTTTGAATTTGTTCGTTATTTTCAATATGTAGTATAATGGCGGATGAGAAGCTAATACTGTCTAGTGCTAAAGTTGTTTGGTAAGGAACGTTTAATAACATATATAGTTTTGTTAAATATAACAAACAGCTTTGTTTTCAATCAAATTTCATTCAATTAATCCAGATAGGATTTAAGTATATTTAGGACTTCCAATTTTAAACTTGGTGCAGAAAAGTTCAATTCTTGAAAAAGAAAAACAAAGTAATGAAAAACAAATACTGAAGAAATACAACAACTCATGTTACAGTATATATCACGAAAAAGTTTTAAAGAAAGAAATAAAGAAGCTGAAAATAAAAGTTATCAAGCCTTGACCGTCCTCAGCGATCCTCCTGGACTTTATAATGATACACACGAGACGGGTATATGTTGAATTTTATTAAGAGATTTCAAATTGGTAGCGATATCAATGTATGGTACCAATATTATAAGAAAGCCATGAAGAACAATAAGATAGAATAGAGGAACATGTAGACTTTAGTTGAAATATTGGATGAAGAAGAGACGTTAGGAGGTGAAGCAGAAGAGAGGACCGAGCTGATGGTAATCATTGTAGTGAAGGTAGGAGGGTAGCAACAAGCGTATCTAGTAATTGTAATATCAATTTTTAATATTAGAATGAGGCTTCAGAGTTAAAACAAAGTTTCTGTACCTAAAGTACACTTAATGTAATTATTATTTCATGTCCTCCGTAACTGTTCTAGTAGACAGGTTCTGAACTCACATGTATATGTTCCAACTCAAGTTTACATTTTATTTATCTTCTGGTGTTCGTGAAATTTTTAGTTTTTATTAAAGTACGTTTTTCGAATAGTGGACAGCTTCACACGTTGTATATTTATTGTTTATAATATTTGATGTGAAGGAATGTATAAGTTTCGTTTGATCACTTCGGTTGTATATAAATATCAAATATTATGAGCTACATATGTTTTTGTATTTGACCTATATTATATGGTTGTTATATCTTTAAACATTGGGCAACCAGTGACCCGGCGACCCCAGTTGTACTGAGTCCATTACATGCAATACTTATTGGGCAACCGCTGACCGTCGAATCACCAGGTCGTCTCTGCACGAGCAACCCCTATTAGTAATTACTATCAACACTCTAGAATATATGTATATATTAAGGTTGTATCATTAAGAGACATTCAATATGTGTTCTATCTTCAAACAATATTGTTTCTAAGTATGTATAAGTTTTAAATATATTATTAGAACTTTGGTTTTAAAAGACCTCCGTTTACGTTATTATTATTTTTCATGTCAAAGATGGCAAACGAGCAGACGGCCTACTTGATGGGCAGTAGTGACCGTCGCCCATGGACTGAACATGAAAAAATCAGGGGGTACTTATTAATTTATTTAAATGTTAATTTTAAACTTGGATCGGTTTTCATAAATCCCCAATTTTTATTTTACCTTTGGAATTTATTTAAAAGATGGAAAAAAAATAGATAAAAAAGATTACTATCATAAATAATTTTTATTGAGTTTTAAAAACCATTTGACAGTCATTTGATGGATCGACGTCACTTTAAAGATTAATAAAGAAGAAACCCGCCTTAAATCATTGTAGAAATGAGCCGGTCCTCTTAGACTGCTGGAGCGATATCAACCAAATATGGCCAACAACCAATGCAAGAAAAATGGCTTTCAAATAAAAAACGTTTTAAATACGGTCGACTTGTTTGAGAGCTACGATACTACACACACATACATACATGCATAAGATCACAGAAACACATACACACACACACACACACACACTAGAACATCCATGATTATGGCCACAGTCGCGCACACGCACCCATTAAATATAAAACGTATTAACACCCTCTTTTTGCGTCGGAGAAATATAGAGAAATAAATTCGAAATAAAAAACTTGAAATCAACTGCTGATTTATTTTATTGAAAACTTTGTAGTATATAATTATTTAATGTATTGAACATGAATGAAAAGGAAACAAAAATAATATAAGTAATGATCAAAAAATAAAAAGTAACAAGGACCGTAAACATACATGTGCAGCACAGAAATACATTACGTTTAAGAACATCACATACGTCAGTCAGATAAAACAGTATGTTTGTAGGATCACGTCATTTTTCGTCCGTCTTTTTGCTTCTCTAAAATAATATTAAACACTTACAGTGGAAAAAATAAAAAAAGACAATGAAATCAACACTTTATTTGGTTTAACATAAGTTATGGGGGACGCACGTTTAGTCTGAAGTCATGAAATATACCGACAACAAAGGATAAGAAAGAAATAATCCAGAAACTAAACAAAACAAAAAAACACAATGTTGACTTGTAGTAGTGATGTTTTCGGTACAACAGTTTTCTATTGACAAATTCAAACTGTCTGTCAGTACAGATGTTCTTTCCGTCATCTGACTGTAGGTCACACTCTTTAGTTGTTTTATAATTTATGAACAGTCCAACTCCTGCCTCCTCTCCACTTAATCTACCTTCTGATTTATTCTATTTTTTATCTTGAGAGTCGTCTCTTGAGCTCGGTTGAGTTTCAGTCTTAAGTAAACACTTCAATTTGATTTGAAAATTGAAACTAATGAATATTTTCATATAAGATGTCTTTTGGATTTATCAATATGGTAAAAAACACAGAGGAATAAAAACCTATACAATGTTGGGTGGAAGTATTTTGTTTCAACGAGATTTACAATTTATTAACTTTATCGTTACTATATGACAGTGTTGATGTTAAATAAATGGCTTCATGTTATTTTTACATCAAAGACACGGTCATATCTGTTTCGTATTTTATCCTTGGCTTGTGTGTGTACTAATGTGACACTATGTGTTATTGCATGAGACGCTCGTCAGGCGCGCACCTTTTATTGTCTACACCGGCATTACAGAAATCAGAGGCTATATATAAGACTAGTCCGATTAAAAAAAGTATACTAGTCTTTAGCAGAACAACAAGCGAACTGTAATTCATAATGATTATGATAGTTTTTAAAATACCAGAAGGATTTATTTTACAAGGACTGTCAGGCGTCTGCCTAAGAGGCCTCCTGGCTTAAAAAAAATGAGATGTTATAGTAAAAGGGTTTAAACAGTGAACCATCTAGATTGGTAAGCTTTTGTTGAATATGTGATTCGAATGGACAGAAAGAAATTCCAGAATAGCAGGATTCCATTCATCACCCGCTCGAGAACTGTACGGTGTATCGGTCGAAGACATATTTTTCATTATAACTGAATAGTGCTTTACTATCAGTCCACCGGACGGTAGATGTAAAGGTAATAATAGGAGTTATTAGTGTTCAATATTGCTGAAGGTCATACAATATCGTTTTTAATATTCACCAGCAAGCTTCGAAGCATATACGTTAAACGTAGAATTGTACTTTCATCGGTCTCGTTCTGGGAGACAGGATACCTTCAGATTGACAAAGGGTTTCCGACACCTTATGTGGGTGTGTTTTAATTCTCAATATAAAGGACTGAATGTACCAATGATAAGTATTACTCTAGATACTACTTTAGACTCTATTCTAACAGAGTGTGTACCAGAAGGTAACGTATTATTTGGTATCGTTTCTTAAAGGTACGTTTTTTAGTATTATATTATAGTAATGATTATATTACATTCAAAAGTCATGTCAAAATAAATAATGACTCTTTCACCGTTAAAAAAAAAAACCTGCATTCTATGTTTTATTTCAGAAAGTTCCTGAGAGTTAGGAAACTGTTAATAGAAGAATATTTTGTCACAATGTACCCATCTCATATGACAAATGTCTTCAAGGAAGCGTAAACTCGCGGCACCGAACGAGTTGTCCAGCAATAATTAGTTAGGAACGGGTTAATGAGACCGGACAGTCTGCCCTCCCCCCCTCCCCCCCTCCCCGCTCCCCCCACACAGCCTGCACAGTCTGAGGCGACATGTTTCCAGTCCCCTTACGTTCGATGTTAATTTCTGTAACATTATTCTCTGGTGATGCCATCTCTGATGAATGTCTTACTTGTGACTTCAGTTTTTCATCTCATTTTTTTATTAGTTATTTATAATCGAAACATTAATCAACCATATAGGTTATAATTATTTTTTTACGTAATCGTTTATAACTTTACTTATAATTTTCCCAAACTTCTAGACTGTCAATTATTTTCAGTATTTTAAGTTCTCTCACCGTTTCCTCTGTCCTGTTTAAACCTCGCGTCGCGTGTCTCCAGTAACTGTTTCAACGTTTCTCCGATATATTCCTAATGCTAGTAACGAGCCCACTCGGC